ACATTGATGCTGGTGTGCCTGTTGGACTGAGGGCGGGTGGATGCTGGCTGGCATGGAGCTGAGAAGTGGTGTCACATCCAATCCTTCTTGCTGCAGGAAGCTGGGAGATACTGAGACATTTAATCTGAACATTTGAAGTTCCTAGCATTATTGTAAAAAAAACAAAAACAAAAACAACCCACTATCATACATAAGGCAGCAGTTAAATGCAAGAAATGTTTCTAGGTGGAAAGTGAAAAAACAGAGCTGTTACTCTGATGGGTCTTCTGTGTTTGTTTGCTGCTTGAGCTCTCTCTGAAGCCATCTGAGCCTCCGTCCTAAACGTGGGTTGTTCCTCCAGTTGTAGATGCTCTGCTGTCTGCCCAGTGCCTATGTACCTGATGGTTTACAGAACAGAGATTTGTTGGCACAGATAAAAAGCTACAGAGGGGTATCTGCTAACCACCAGCCTTGGGTTCATGTCTGCCTGTACCTTGTTTTACAAGTAAAAAGAAACAGCAAAGAAAACTTTGCATGAATAGCATAATACACAAAGTAATGAGCTAACATCTGGCAGGAAGTTATTGGTGCTTTGTGCTCCATCAGCAACTCCACCTTTTTCTAATTAAAATTGCTCCTTTGCTGCTTACTCTTCCAGCAGTTTATGAAGCCCAGTGCTTTGATATTTAACATCAAAATAGCTCAAGAAACAATTCCAGCCTTACTGCTTCCAAGTAGAGGTTTAATCACCAGCTGTTCCATTGTGTGTGTGTACATATATATGTATATTACTTTTTTAAATCATGGAGAGTAATTCAGTTTTAAGATAGAATGAAACATCAATAAACTTCTGTAAATTGAGCAGGCTTTCTTTAATCTGGAAACATTGAGCACCTGGCAGCTGCACTGGCGGGTATTGCCCTGGTTCAGGTAATGGGATCAGAAGGAAAGATTGGTAGAATTTATGGTGTAGTTTCTAGAATTAAACTCATCTGAACGGTTCTTCGTTCATGTCTGGAGTCTTCAGAAAGAATACCAAACAAGTGGGAAACTTGTGTTTGACTTGAAGGAAACTTGAAATCGCAGGTTGAGTGGGATTTTGGCTTATTTCAAATCAAAATCAGAAGCTTTTGTCGGACTAAAGCTAAGCACAGTTCCTGCCCAACGCGTGTGCAGGCGTGCAGTGCGCGTTCAGTAAGAGTTGGTGAGGACTTTCCTGCCTGTTTGTCAGTCTCACGTCTCCGTATGATGTTGGTTTATTTTTTCAGAGTTATTTCAGGAGAGCAGTGCTAAGGATTGCAGGCCTACCTGAGCGATGGAAGCGAGAGGGAGGAGAAGGAACCGCTTTGCATGCGCTCAACCGTGAGTTGTAGGTGGAAGGTGTTCATTTGTTTCGGGGGCTGTCTCTAATTTGGAGTTGTCTTTTGGGATAGATTGAGAGTGCTTCATCTTCCCATTCGGGTGGATTCTGCTGGCTGTGTGTGGCAGCAGCCAGCTGAGGGGTTACACAGGAGAGGAGAGGCCTTTCCTTTCGTACAGTCAGTGTAGGTGTGTAAATAGGCAACGCCTGTATATTGAGGATTGTATATATGTATATAGAGGAGTCGTATATCTATTATAAATAGTCAGTAGACGTGTAGAGTACTGCTGTATTTACATTTTTATTACCTTGAATTATATCCATTTTTTTCATATTTCCTGAGGTTTTGCAGCAGCTCCTTGGTAGCTGCAGGACACCTTTCAGTACTGTACGTGTGGCACTGTTGGTAGCGTTGCTTCAGAAGCCGTCTCTGCTTCTGAAGGTCACTCATGTCCGTGGGGTTAAAGTGGCTGTTGAAATCAGCTATACAGTTTTGTATTTTTGTATATTTTTATTAATAGTTGCAAATGCGGTGTGAACCGACAGCAGTGCCGGGTCAGCCCGCACCCCCGTGTCCTCTGCGTGCTCTGAGTGCTCTCCTAGAGCAGCACTGCTTCCTGCCTGCGCCTCCGAGCAGCTCCTGCAGGCACGGAGCAGTGGTGTTGTGCTCAGCTGAGCTGACACCAGCAGTACTCTTACCGTGGGCTTATGAATCTTTGCCTAGCAAGGGATGTCAGCGGCTGCTCAGCGTGGGCTGCAGTTGGGTGATGATGCTGAGGCTTAGTCTGTAGGCATTCCTCTTCTCTTTGCCCCGATGCTTGCATGCAAGGGGAGCATCTCTCAAGCTGTTCTTATTTTTGAAGTAGTTGCTATCTGGAGCACTGTCTCATAGGAGCCTTGTGAAAGCCCCCCCCAGTTCCGCCCTATGGGAAACACTGTCCCGGCCCACACCAGTTTCCTGCAGGTTGTCTGAGGAGTTGAGCTCCCTAAAAGGAAACCCAGATTGTAAGCTCAGCAGCGTGTGCTTTGTCCACCATGACTCCTCAGGCCAAATCTGATCGACCCCACTTCAGTTTGGCATGAGGCAGATCTGTAGATATTGTTGTCCTGGTGCAGGTGTCGTCAAAGCATCTCTGCTAAACGGAAGGTAGCGTCCTCGTTTCTTTTCTCTGAGATGATTTCCACTGCTTCTGGAGATGGAGATCTGTAGCTTTTGCTATCACAGTTGATGAAATTGCTCATAACATATCAATGTGCTGGGACGAGGTGAGGAACAAGAGGATTTCACTGCCTCTTGAGAGATACTCACTGAAATTCTTTGCAAGTGCTCACTTTAGCCTCCAAAATTTCAGCACCTAGCCCACTGAAGGCTTTGTGTGTGTTAGTTGTAATTCAGGTGAGGAAAGGGTCCCGTGTTCAGATGATGAAAATTGCCTTATCTTCCCTTAGTCCGCAAAGCTGCCCCCTGTAAGCTGGTGAGGATCTGCCCCGTGCCCCTGGCCCAGGCTGCCAGGCAGCATTGCTGTGCCCTGCAGCCCCCAGGCACTGCCTCCCCCCCAGGAATCATAGAACTGGAGGCAAGTTCCAGTGTCTCGCATAAAAGCCCACAGCATTGCTGAAGCTTTTTAATTTTGAACGCTGTTTGAAATGAGACAACTCTGCATTTTTACTGGAGCTCATTGATGATGAATAAGCTCCGCAGTCATTCAGATCAGAGCATTCTACCTCTGTTAACACCCGCGTCTGTCTTGTGGCGCGCCGCCTTTTCTGCCATGTTTTCCTGCAGTGCACTGATCAACTGCTGAGCTGCCTTTTCCCTTGTCCTGCAGTGTGAAAGTAGCACCAGATATTCCCTGTGCATTTCTGTGTATATGGCTTTCGTAGATGGGATTTTCAAAGCACTGATCCCCAGTGCTTTCGGTTTGTTCTATGAGGGGGATATTTCATTTGCATCTATGTTTTTAGCTATCCTGTGATAACATGTTGAATATTAAAAAATAAAAATATTTTGCTTCTATTGGGACATTTGTATACTCGCAACTATATTTCTGTAAACAGCTGCAGTCAAGAATAAAACAATGAAAGTTTTCATTTTGCAGTGTAAAGTCCTGTTGTGGTTCTTTTCAAGGAGACCTCCCTGCTGGGGAAAAAAAAAGGCTGTCTGGAAAGACAAAAGTGCATGAGTGCATGGGTTTGTCCCCTTGGTGCATGCCTTATGCTGTTGCATAGGAAGAGGCAGCGTGTCATGCACACACTCTGCGGGGGGGGGAACAATTCCAATGTTTCTTTGTTATTATGTGGTCTTAGGTCCAAAGTTGCTTACTGCCCAAACACCAGCTTTGAGTTACAGAGATTTCAAGGAGGTAATTCATGATTTGCCTGAGGTGGGGATTCCCTCTGTGGTGTCCCATAGTCCCATCCCTGGGCTCTCCTGTGGGGCTGGCAGTGGCTTCACCCCACTCAGCTCAGGCAGAGCTGGCAGCAAGGCTGAGGCCTGGGATCTGCCTTGTGCTCAGCTGGATGCAAAGAGATAGAATGAATAGACGAGCGAATACAATCAATTAATGTAACTGAAAGTATGCCTTGGTAAATGTGGCTGCGTTCTGAGGGGTCAGCTTGATCAAGATGGTGCTTTGTGGGAAACAGTGCGTGATCTGAGGTAGTTCCTTCTTGGAATTTTCAGATGGATGCTCAAGCTGGAAAAATAATGGGGATACAACTTGGCAGAAGACAGCTTGTGCAGAGAGCGCTGCGGTGCGTGGCAATATGGGCTTTGTGCATCTCCAGGATGGGAAAAACTACAACATAGGTAAGAAACAAAAACATTAAACGTACCCTGAGTTCTGACAGAATGCACTGCTGTACGATACTGGAGCAGACATCAGAGCCTTGAACCCTGTTGTAGTACAGGAGGAAACGTGGCACCGGTTTGCTTGCTGTGGGAGGAAGGGGCGTGTGTTGGTGTGCATTGCTGTGTGGGTGTTCAGTTTCCTGTTAGCATTTCTTTTTGATGATGCATCCAAGTCCGAGCTCCTTGCTACGTCCTCAGCGTCCCAGAGCCCGCCCCCAGAGAGCTGCGTCACCGTCATGGTCCTTCAGCTTCCGAGTGGGTGAGAAAAGGGAGCAGAGGCGATCCTTCCCGCAGCCTGGCACAGCCTCACTCTCCCTCTGGGCTCAGTCCCATGCAGTGTTCGCTGCCCACGCTGATAATCCGATGCCCGCTGCTATGGATGGAGCCCCCCAGCTCAGGCCTTCCCCCCCCTGCCCCACATGGCTTAGCCAGCACTGTGCTTCTTTACAGTAACAGCTGCTGCCTCAGAGGGGCCCTCAGCCCCCTTTCTTTGAATTTCAATCCAGACTCCTCAGCTCAAATACTGCCCCACTACATGGCCCATTCTGTGGATGCGTGTGCAGGAGGTGAGCGATAGGGTGCTGAGGCTTCCCAGGACATGACGGGACCTGGAGATCAGGGACCTGGAAATCAGGGCTGTGTCAGTCCCTGAGGCTGTGGCCTTGGCTGCAGTGGGGCCGCCCGGTGTCAGTGGTCCCCAGGGTTCCTGCCCAGCTCCAGGGGTGGGCAGGGGGCAGCCCCCCAGCTGCACAGCAGAGCTGGGCCTGAGTCTGCACTGCCTGATGGGGGCAGAGAAGAGCACACCACCTCCAGGTTCTGGACCTCAATTTATTGTTGCATTCACGCAGGCCTCAACCACAAGCCCTTCCCTTGTGCCCCGAAGCCTTGATTTTGAATAAAATTGCACAGAAAAATGTCAGGAAAGAGAACACAGAAAAACAAGTGCGTGCAGGTGTGGGGGCTGCCCTTGCGGCCCCCTGCCGCGGTGCTGTGAGGCCAGGCCTGGGTCTCAGTGCGGGCGCAGGCCCTGGCTGCTACTTCTGGGCCTGGAGCTGCTCGTTGAGGGGCACGGCCTTGCCCAGGTGCTGCCCCACCGACAGGCCGTGCTGCTGCCCCTCCTGCTGCGCCAGCACCTCGCGCTTCAGAACGAAGCCGCCGGCCAGGCTCATCTCGAAGCAGCTATTGGGGACGAAGCTGAGGGGCTTCTCCTGCTCCACGGCTGCCAGGCGGCTCTTCCATGCACTCAGCATCTGTGCCCGCGCCTCAGGACTCGCGTAGCGCACACTGTAGAAAATCTGGGGCGCCAGAACCTGGAAGCCGCAGAAGTGCAGAGTCCCCCGCTGCCACCGGGGTGGGAAGAGCTGTCAGCACTGTGCCCTGGTACCACGCTGTCCCCAGCCCCGACCGTACTACCTGCATGGGCCACAGCAGCACGTTCATGTCGCCGTTGATGCCGCTGGGGCTGTACATGGAGCCCATCCCGCCGGTGGTGAGTGACAGCATGGCTTTTTTCTTCTGAGGACGGGAAGGGGAGAGGCAGGGGCTGCAGGGCCAGCACGTGTTCCCCCACAGCCCCGAGGCCTACCTGGAAGGGCCCCTGGTCGTACATGCTGGCCAAGGAATAGGCGAAGCCGTCGACGAAAACGCGGTCGAACCAGCCCTTGAGGATGGCTGGCATCCCAAACCACTGCAGCGGGAACTGCGGGCACGGGTGGGTCAGGCAGCGAGCGCTGCTGCTCTTTTCCCCCCTGAAACAGCCCCTCCAAAAGCAGCCACCCCCCACAAATTCCCCCTCAGCCCTTGCAATGAAGACTGCACCGCAGTCTTGCCTGGAAGATGACCAGGTCGGCCGCTTCAATCTTCTTCTGCTCGGTGACGATGTCGCTGCTGAGGCGTCCCTCCTTCCATGCATGCCCCATCTCCATCTCGTAGACAAAGTGCTCGGGATTCTTGGGGGGCCCTGCAGGGAGGGTGGGGGCTCAGGGAGGAACAAGCTGGGGGCTGGTGGGGACGATGGCTGCACTCGTACCGGTGATGTCGCGCCGTGAGAGCACGGCATTGAACCCGATGGCATAGAGGTCTGAGATGGTGACTTCCCAGCCCTTGTCACGCAGCGCGCTGCTGGCTGCTGCTGCCATGGCGTGGTTGAAAGAGGTTTTCTCGGGGTGTGCTAGCACGATGAGCGCCTTGCGGCCTGTGGGGAGGGTGATGCTCAGCATCGGGGCCGACGGACCCACGTGGCTGAACCTGGGAGTCCACACTGCCCTGCGGAGCCCCGTGGATGCTGCACAGACCCCCTTACCGTTGTCCCCCAACCAATCCCCACCAGCACCTTGCCGCTGCCCCAGGCAATCCGTGCCGGGAGCTGCAACTCCACGGCCATGTGAACCCACAAAGGCAGCAGTTAGTGGCGCAGTTATTGTCTGCTGCAGATCGGTGCTGCAGAGAGGGAAGCACAGCTGGAGCCAGTAGCATCGAGGCCCTGGTGCCGCTCACTGGCCCCGGGCAAGATTCGCCTGTACCGGTACCTGCTCACCTACCTGCCATTGCCGGGGCGGTTCGGCTCCCAGGAGTGGAACTGGAGCGAGGCCGTAACACCGCTCGCGGCCAGTACAAACGCTGGCTGAACTTCGCTCGGGCAGGGCTTGCTGAGACCCGGGGGGCCGGCCGAGAGGCGGGGCGTGCGGTACCGAGACTCACTCGTGCCGCCCCGCTGCTCGCAGGCGAGATTCCAGGCCCGCTGCGCCTCTCCAGCCGTGTCCCTGCCAGCACCCATTGCCTGGGACATCACCCGCTGCCCTCGGGGAGCCCCCCCCCCCCCCCCCCCCGTGCTGTTTTCAGCCCCCTGGGAGCCACCAGCCCCCCGTGTTATGTCATGGGTCTGCCCTAGGGAGAACCAAGGGCTGTCACCTGCACAGGGTCGTGCACCCAGACCCCGACCTCCCCTTCCCCCTGTGGGCAGGTACCCTGCCTCACATCCAGCAGCGTGTAGCTGCAGGAGCAGCTGTGCAGTGCAGGTGGGGTGGTTTGGGTTGCTGTGCAGGTGCAGATGGGCACAGAACCCAAGAAAGGTTGGCTGTAAAATCTGCAGTTCATATCTGCTTGTCAGGGAGTGCCCTGATAGAAATCGTCCCAGGGTGCTGCTGGTGGGCAGCAGCCCAACAGCCCTGCTTTCCCTTCAGTGGAAAAACGACTGAGTCATGGTGGTGTAGCATTTCATGTTTATTCGCACTGCTGTCATTCAACATGGCGTCCTTGGAAATAAACAGGAATGCCTATACCCCACTAGCAGTGTAGCCAGCACCTTCCATGTGTGCTGGGTCTGGCAGGCAGTCAGGGTCAGTACGTCACACACCCAGAGCCTTGCCCCTGCTGCTGCCTGCCCCGCTGACATCTGAAGAAGCCCAGAAGGAAAGGCTGGGTGCTGGCGCTGCAGGCATCTCACCCTCCTGCTCTCACTAGGTGCCATGCAGTGCCCAGGCAGCCCACCTTTCCCTTTCCCTCGCAACTGCACCGCCAGAGGCCCTGAACTGCCCTTCATCTTCTCTTCACAAATTTCTTTGTCACAGCGTTGGGGTTCAGGCGCCTCCTACCAGCGCCCAGTGCCATGTCCCGGATTTGCAGGTTGGCTGCGCGACTGTAGATATCATTTTCTGCAAAGGGAGAGACCCCTGCAATGTAGTCGGGGTCGAAGACGTTGGTCTTCTGCCTGGCCTTGCGGGATAGCCGCTGCTGTGGGAAGGGCTGGTCCTCCACCAGGTGCGGGTTGTTGGCATGCTTCCCTCCCTGAGGCGCTGGCAGCGGATACTGCCCAAAGAACAGACTGTTAAACCTCTGGGGTAACTCCTGGTTAGAGGACCTTCACAGTGACTGCTGGTTTACAGAGAAATCAGCAAAAGAAGCTCGAGAGTCCCTGCAGTAAGTGAACATCCGGAAGGCAACCACAGCTCTACCTAGCCCAGCCCATGCAGCAACTCACCCTGAGTCCCCGTGGGTTCAGCACCTTGGGGTTGCGGGAGAAGTGCATGTGGAGGCTCCCATCCTCACTGACGCTCACTGCAACTTTCTTCAATGTCTTGTTACCGCAGTGAGGGCAGAAGACCTTGGTCATGTCTGAAGTTGTCCTGTGGTAGACAGAGATGGAGGAGGTTTACTACTCCCTGGGCCGCAGAGCAGAGGCCCAGCCCAGGAGTGGGATTACTGCCCATCCCCAGAGACTGCCCCTTGCCCTGGTGGTGCTGTGTCTGCACCTGAAGCAGCCATGGCAGCGCAGGATGTGGCTCCGGGCCTGGCGGATCAGCATGCCATTCACTGCCAGCACGTGGAGGCCCATCTGCAGCAGCACATTCTGCCATGAGGGGGAGAAAGCAAGATGCCATGAGCCCAGCAGCTCCACCCAGGTTTGCCTGCCCGGGCAGCAAGAAGCCAAAGGCAGCAAAGCCAATGGGCTCTGTGCAGGCCTCTGCTGTGGGGAGAACTGGCAGCTTTGAACACAAAAGAAGGCAGCGCAGGGTGACTTTTGTATGGTACGTGTGTGGGATCAACCGAGCTGGGGGCTGGAGCCAGTGCCATGAGGCAGCACTCACCTGCATGGAGAAGTCTGTGGTGACACAGCCGACCTGCACGTCGGCAGGCACAGTGTCACAGTGCCCCGTGTCCTGCTGGACCTGCTTGAGGTTGCTTGGCGTTATCCAGCCCTCACTATCATCATCACTCTCCTCCTCCTCCTCCTCTTCCTCCTCGGCACCATCCCCATCCTCCGAGCTCTGGCACTCATCGGTGGCCACTGAGCTGCTGGAGATGCTGTGTGTTTTCTGCAGAGATGGGCAGTTGGTGCTGTGTACGCCAAGGAGCCGGGATGCAGGGCAGTAAGCACAGCAGCCTCACCAACATCTCCTGGAGCTCATCCTCGATGCTGGGCAGGGGCGGCCTCCAGAAGAGGAAGGAGCCAAACTCGGCGCTGTCGGGCAGCTCCGTGCTGCTGCTGGGGCTGTGCTGCTGCTGTTGGCCCTTCCGCAGGCGCTTGTGCTGGAGGACACACAGCAGCCCAAGGCTCCACATCCCCATTCCTCTCACCCCCCACGCCCCCTCTTTGTCCCCGTCACACCCCATACCTTGGCAGGCAGGTGGAAGCCGGCGAGGTGCAGCGTGGCCTCGGGGTGCCGCGGGCTGGAGCTGAGCCGCACCTGTGGACAGCGTCAGGCTCAGCAGTGCCCGCAGCCCATCCCCACTCCCCAGCCCACTCCTTACCTTGTCCGGGGGCTGCAGACGGACGCTGCCCGGCCCCGCGGTCTCGGCCTGCAGCTGGCAGGTGAGCGCCAACACTTGCAGGTCGGCGGCTGACAGGCTGGGGAAGTCCCCGGTGCGCTTGGCGAATTCGGTGACTGCAGGCACGGGGGAGAGGAGCCCGTTACCCCCACAGCCGCACGCGGCCCCGCCGCCCCCACGCGCACTCACCCGTCCGCACGAAGTCGGCCCGCGGGCGACGGAGATGCAGCTCGTAGGGCAACGCGGCCAGGCGGCGCCGCGCCCGCCGGTCCCGGATCTCGGCCAGCACTTCGGGCACGGTGTACACACTCTGCGCCACGTCCTGCGGGTGGGCCGCGGGTCAGCTCAGCCCGGCCCGGAGCCTCCCCCCATCCCGGAGCCCTCGGTCCGTACCTGCAGCGCGGCGCCACTCAGAAACGCGCCGGCGTCGGCCACGACATGCGGTACCCGCGCCATGCCCGCTGTGTCCCTCCCCGCACCCCGTAGCGCCGCGCGGAGCCCGACGGGAGCGGCGCTGCTGGAGCACTTCCGGGCGGTGCGGTCAGGTGCGCGCGGGGTCACGTGACGGCGGCGCCGCAGCCGGAAGCGGGAACGCAGCGGCTGCCGGTGAGGCGGGTGAGGGCCGGGCGGCGCGAAGCGGCGGGGTCTGGCGGTCGCTTCTGGCGGTCGCTGAGCGTGGGGAGCCTTTCCGCTCAGCTTTACCGGCGGCGGCTGCTGGCCTCCAGAGGGGAAGCCCGTCGTGGCGACCCGGGGCACCGGCTGTGGGGCTGGCCGGGCAGGGGGCCGAGGCCTGGGTGGGAAGGAGCGGCGGGCCTGTGGGAGCTGCGGCGGCGGCGGCAGCGTTGGCTGAGGAGGCGGCGCCGGAGCTCAACCCGGAGTCCGGGAACTGCCCCTGCCCTCGGCGGCACCGCTGGGCGAGGGGCTCCGGGCGCTGGTTCGGCACCCAGAGACCGTGCGCGTTCTGTGAGGATCCCGACCCCTCCGGCCTCGGGCTGAGCGCAGCATTGCAGCTCTACCGGGGCGCGGGGGAAGCAGAGGGCCCGGGGTGCCCCTACGCAGCTGTGCCGTGAGGTGAAGTGAGAATCAGAGGATGAGAAAGCGGGCAGAAGGGGGCAGGGTTCGTAGCCGCCACCAGCGAGGAGCCGCGCTAACGCGGCCGTGTTCCCGCCGTCCCGTGTCGGGCGGTGCTGGCGCTCCGCAGTGCGGGACGCTCGGTGACTGCGCTCGGCTGACTGGCGCTGCGGCTTTGTAGGTCGTGGCGGGAGAGCGCGAGGGCTGCGTGTGGTGAGAGTTTGGAATGAGTGCAGCGAACTATGAATCCCTGCCGGGTCAGCTTCCCCAGCAAAGCCTGGGGCTGTGTCTGTGTGGGATGGCTGCAGAGGGCTGAAACGGTGCCTGAAGTTGAGGAAGGATCAGGGATCCCCAGGTCCCGGCATGGCAGTTCTGGGGTGTGGGTCGCTGCCGGTGGCACAGGAAGTGCCCTGGGGAAGAGCTCACTGCTCCGTCCTGCACAGGGCTTGGTTGCGGGCTGGCTGCGTTCTGTGGGACTTGCTGATGTTTCTAATGAAGTGAGTGGTGATGTGGAACTGGGGGGGTCAACCAGCAATATCCTGGAGAATGATCTGTTGAACTGGAGTTGGAATTCCCACCGGAGTTGGAATAGCTTGTAATAGCAAGGCAGTTTCTCTTGGATATGACCTCAGTCTGTAAGCTGGCTCCCAGCTGCCAGGGAGGATGGAGGGCATCTTGCCAGGCCCCCACCTGGTCTTGTGTAGCCCAGCAGTAAGTTCCCAGCAAGGCTGTGTTAGGCTCCTAGGCTCAGCCTTGTGCCAGGCTGGTACCAGGAGGGGTGTGGGGAGCCTGTGTTGTGGGAGGGGCTAAAAAGGAGCTAGCAGAGGTTGAGACAGGGCCCCGTGAGAGCAGCGTGATACCATAGCTGACTGCTGGGGCCAGACTGAGCACCTCGTGCTCCTGCGTGATCCCTGACCCTGGGATTTTCCTTCATAGTCAGGCATTTCAGTAGAAAAACTGCTGCCTCTGCCATAGAATCATAGAATCACAAGGTTGGAATCATCTAGTCCAACCATCTCCTCAGCACCATTGCCACCACAAGCACTAAACCATATCGCACAGCACGTCATCCAGATGCCTCTTGAACACTGCCAGGGACGGCAGCCATTGCAGTGCCTGACTCTCTGAGAGAAGTAGTTCTTCCTTCTGTCCAATCTAAACCTCCTCTGATACAACTTGCAGCCATTACCCTGTGTCCTGCTTATTGCCTGGGAAAAGAACCCAAATCCCTCTTCACCACAACCTCCCTTCAGGAAGTTGTAGAGTGCAATGAGGTCTCCCCTCAGCCTCCTCTTCTCCAGACTGAACAATCCCAGCTCCCTCAGCCTCTCCTCCTGGAGAAGAGAGGGGAGAGGGAAGTGCTGTGGTCGCTGTCAGTGATGCAGTGCCCCAGAGTGAGGAAGTGGTGAGTGCCTGGGAAGGTGCAGGCTGTGCTGGGGTCCGGCCCTGCGGTTGGAGCGGCTGCGGTTCCCCTGCCCACTGAGCTGCAGCTCTGCAGTGTCTTGGAATAGAGGGGACCAATCTTTTCCATGGTATTTTGGTGCCCAGCAGCCCGGTGAGCTATCCTTGAGGGACATGCAGCTTCGCTGTGCTGTGAGCAGACCCAGCTCATGATGCTGCTGTCTCATCCTTTCCAAGGGATGCTATGTGCCATGCCTTGCCCTCACCTGCAGGCTTTAGTGCTCGGTTGTGCTGGAGGCTGCTCTGTCCCTATGGCCAGGAACAGCAGCGGCCTTGGGGTCGGGGTGAGGTGGAGTTGCTCACAAGACTGCCTGCAGGCTGCTGCCCCAAGTGGCTGCGTGCTCTTTGTGCTGTGTGGAGTGCTGGACACAGTATATTTTTGGGCCCCAGCTCAGCCTTGGTGCTGAGTCCCCATCTCTCTCTCCCTTCCAGGCCAGGGGTGATGACATGGCCTCTGCGAGCTCCAGCAGGGCCAGGGCAGGGCCACCCTGCGAGAAGTCCCAGCTCTCTGTGAAAGGTGAGTCCTGTGCAGGGCTGGGAGCTGAGCTGTGGATGCACCGAGGTAGGAGACCTTGGGGTACCTTGGTGGGAAGGGGCCGTGTTCCAGGCTCCGTGGTGCATGCAGTCTTTACCAGGCCTTCGTGCTGGAGGCCTCTGGAAGCAGAGCGCTGCCTGTGGGGGGCTCTGCCTCCTCCGCTGGGATGTGGCTCCATAGCGCTGTCACGGCGGTGTTTGTGCTGCAGTGGCCACGAGATGGCTCCAGATGCCGGGAGCTGTGTCCCAGCACTGTCTGCAGCCCTCTGGTCCAGGCACAGCTATCTAGAGCGTAGCAGTTCTCCCCAGCCAACTGCCTCCTTCCCTTGGCTCCTGCAGATCCCCTGTGTCCCTGGCTTGTCATAGAGCATGGGTTTTCTCATCAGGCTCCTGGGGCTGGGAGCAGCTGAGCAGGGATGGTAGGTGTCTGTGGGGTGAAATGGGAGTGGATGAAGCGTGACCAGGGCCGTCTTGGCCCAATGCTGTCCCCTCCCCAGAGCATCAGTGGCAGAGATGGGTGTGCACATGTGAGGCAGTGTCCTCGGGCTGGGGCAGGGGCTGTGGGGCTGCTGCTTGACCCCTGCCTGTCCCACTCAGTGGTGTCCGTGAAGCCCAAGGCCCACAGCCGACAGTCACGGATGAACTGCTACGTGGAGGTGGCGGGCGATGGGCTGCCCAGCGAGACCAAGAAGACGGGAAAGCAGATGGGGAGCTCTGAGCTGCTGTGGAATGAGATCCTCATCTTGTAAGTCCCTCTAACCCTGTGCCGTGGGCTGGGGCTGTCCCCTGCTCCCACACCTTGCCCTTAGCGGGGATTCATGCAGCTCCATCAGCTAGGGCTGTTTGGATGTCAGAGGGCTTTGCCCCTGCTGAGGATGCTGTGAGTGTCACCAGGAAGGGGATAAGGTCTCCTGTCACCCTGCAGCTTTCCCTCATCCCTTCTGCTCCTTGGCTTGGCAGGCCTGGCGCTACCTGCTCCCGAGCAGAGAGAAGGGACGAGGCCATGGTGATGGCCCCTCTCCTGTTCTCTCTCTAGGAATGTCACGGCTCAGAGTCACCTGGACCTGAAGGTGTGGAGCTGCCATACGTTGAGGAACGAGCTGCTGGGCACCGCCTCCGTCAGCCTATGGAACCTGCTCAAGAGTGGTGGGAAATGTATGTCTGTCTGTATGGCCTGGTCAGAGCTGCTGTGGGTCCCTTGGCCTTTGTGCGGATTCTGTGTCCCTGCTGAGGGCCGGGGTCTCCCCACACCACAGGAGTGGCCCCAGCAGGGAACAAGGCACTGTTGTGTGCTGGGTGACAGCAGCCAGATTTGCGTTAGCCGGGGTGCCAGAGCTGTGTGGAAACACAAACCCTCAGCTATTTGCTGCTATTTGCTGCCATTTGTGGTCACTGGAGTGTGGCTGTGGCAGCAGCTTCTGCATAAAGACACCCATTCAAGGCTCAGCCATGGAAGCTGCTGCGCGGGGCTGGAAAAGGCTTACTCTGTCTTTTCCAAGCAAAGCTCTGCTTCTCACAGAACACAGAGCTGGTATGGGGAGGGGGGGGAGAGAGGGGCCTCTGCCCAGCGGGGAATGGGGTGTGCTTGGCCTCTGCCGGGCCTACATGGGGCTGTTCCTTGGCACTGCTACTGCGGGTGACAAAGTCCCAGCAGTGTCCCCACAGTGCTCCTTGGGGCAGGCTTGCCCCGTGCCCCTGGGGCCTTGGCATCGCTACATCCTTGCTGGGCACACATGAGGAGCTCGTTTGCTGCAGTCGTGCTGTAAAGCCCGTGAGGACCTGGCTGGTGCCTGGAGGCACAGGGCTGGGCTGCTGGATCTGCCTGTGCTGGGGGCTCAGCCCCGTGGTGCTCCCTCCTACTTTCTCCCAGAGTCGTGCCACTGCTCCCGCCCTACCTGCCCGCTCCTGTGGCAGGGCACAATCAGCCCTTTCATTAGTGGGTGTCCCAGGGGGCTGTGTGGAAATTGAATGGAAAAGGCAACTGGCTGTTCTAGTTCATTCGTTAACGTGTGGCAGAAAAAATGTGTCAGATTTTTCCTTGACACCGTGGGCCAGGAGGGAGGACTCTTAAAGCTGCAGAGTGCTGCTTTGCTGGGGAGGTGCTGCCACAGGGTGGACACTCCTGCATGCTGCCTGTCTCACCAAGTCTGGGCCCTGCTCCTTGTTGCTCAGCATTTGTGGCTCTGCTCCAGCTCTGTGTGGGCCTCAGGCTGCTGCTGCTCCTCTGGAGGGAAGGCTGCATCGCAGGGACCCTGCCCTGGTCCTGGTGTGCTCTGTGGCCTGGCTGCTGGCTCCTGCCTTGCCTGCTGAGGAGATGAAGCCGTTTCCAGAGTGTAGCATTGTGGTGACCAGGGAGTTGGCCAGGTCGCACAAGTAAGCTGGGATTAAACCCTCCTGAGCTGGACAAGGGATGCCTTAATCCAGCCTAAGTCCCCCTGCTGAGGGAGACACTGTATTGAGTGCTGTCTGCTTCTTGGAAGCCCCCAAGCTCATTCTTTGCTCCTGGGAGGTGCTGAGCAGGGACGTGTCCTCCCCAGGGCAGCTCTTGGCTGGCAGCTTGCTGCTGTCTGACCTTTTTTTGTTGTTGTTAGTTTTGGGTTTTTTTCGCTATGGTTTTAGTGAGGTTTTCTGTAAGTTACCGCTGTGTGAGCATAATTGCAATCTTTTGTATTCCTGTAGCTTTACTTGGTGTGGAAGGATTGTTCTCGTGGCTCAGCTTTTGGGCAGATGGGTGTTTTCCAGCAGGGGTGGTGTTCTCATCTCCAGTGACGTTCGTGGCAGTGTCTGCAGGGCTCGTACTGCCAGGAGCAGCCGTGGCTCCCTCTGTTCTCGCTGTCGAACCTTCTGCCAAGCACGCGTCACTCCAGGTGGAACAGCCTCAGCTCTGAGGCCTGCAGCCTGGAAAAAGAGCTCTGCAGTGAGGCTGGGTGATGGGGAGAGCCTACGGGGAGCTGGACCCAGGCTGTTCCACCAGGATGTGGCCGGTGCTGGGGCTCAGGAGAGAGCACGCTCCTGTCTTCGGCTGGGATTAAGGACAGAAAACAAGGCACAGCCTCCTGTGCTCGGTGGCACAGCCCTGCCTTGGGCCCCCCAGCAGTAACGCTGTTCCCAGGTGCCAGCAGCTCCTTGGTGTGGCTGGAGCAGTGTCCCTGGGCGGCCCCCGACGCGGTCTGGGTGGAAGCTGATCTTGGTGCTGCTGTTTGCTGGTCCCTGGCAGCCGAGTGGTGAATGTCTGTGCAGGCTTTGGAGGGACACCAGTAAGCTGGGCTGCAGCTCATGGATGAAAGTGCTTGCTTTTATTGCTTACTGCTCGGGTTGCAAGTTACATCAACAGGCTCCTGTTTCTCAAGTGGCACCATATGCCAGGACTTGACAGATCCTGCAGAGCCCTTTCTTTCCATTCTTCTGCACCTCTGGCCAAACCCCCAACCTCTGGAAAGCTGCAGCTGACCCCACTGCTTGAATATGCTGCCACAGGAATTCTGCATGGCCAGAAAGCAAAGGCTCTTTCACCAAGGAGTGGTGAAAGCAGGCAGTCAGATGGGCTGCAGTGAATGCTTAATGCACTGTCTCTGCTGGGGCGGTGGTCCTGGTCAGAGAAAAGGAGGGGAAAAGAGGTCTGAGGTCCTCCTGGTTGTGCTGCGTGGCAGTGGAGTGGGCACAGTTGTCAGTGATTCTTGGGCATCTGAGGCTGTGTCAGCAGCAAGGACTAATCTTCCACTGCCTGGGAAGACTGGTTTTCCTATAGGACTAAAGATGATCACTTCTCCTAAACTCTGCTTCCTCCCTGCTCTGTGGGATAGCTGGAGAATGTCCTGCTCCCCTCAGGTTCCTCCCAGAGGACCATGGCCGCAGGGACCCTGCGTGTGCCATGGGATGGTGGTGTTGCTGCCCTATGCTAACTGGGGGCACGTAGATTGCTGAGTAGAGTGCGTGGCAGTGGCTGTTGGGTCAGCCTGGAGGAGCTGCTTATCTTTGTGTCAGTGGCTCTGTGTGGGGCTTTTTTCAGGTGGTGGAGGGTGCAGCTTTGGTCATGTGGAACTGTTTGAGGGAAAACTGCGATTCGCATGCAGAGGAATGGTGCGAAGAGGGCTGTAGGAGGTGAGAGGTGAGCAAACTTTTTTGTCTGCCTGTGGGAGAAAGGAGCCGTCCCTGTGAGGTGAGAGGCAGCGGGTCTCCTTTCCTCAGTGCTTGTGCAGCTCAGGCGGCTCCCGGGGTGCCGGGGGGCTCGGGCTCAGCCCGGAGTTGTGCTTGCTGCTACCAGGGTGGAACTGTAAATCCGCTTAATGGGCTGGGAGGGAATTCCAGCTCGCCGCCACTAAATGGCAGCTCTGATGCCGCACGCAGGGCACTGGAAGTAGCTGAACTGAGACCTCATTCAGGACCAAATCACCCCCGACCCCCTCCCAAAATAATAATAATCCCTCTGACATTCTGGCAGCCAGTAGGACACAGGCAGCCTTTGTGCTTGGCCGTTCAGGGGACCCTCTGTTGGTGCAGCAGCAATGTCCCTTTGTGCGTCCCGCGTGCTGGACGGGGACAGTGAATGGAAGGTTCTGCTGGTGTTTATTTTCTTTAAAAAAGCTGAAGGGGGTGGAGAGGGGGAGAAGGCGGCCGGCTGGGAGGTTCGTGTTCACATCCTCTACTCGGAGACACCTCGTCTTCGCTCCCGTGCTGCCGTCCCCCCGGGCCGGGCGCTGCACAATGAGGGTCTGTGCGGCTGCGGGGCGCTCGCAGGAGGGGCGCAGGAGACCCCCGGTGTGTGCGGGCGTGACTTCCGCACGGCTCGGGGGAAGGGCACGTTCCTATGGCTCGGAGCAGGCAGGGAGAAACAGGGTCTGGATTTGTTCTGCTTTCTGGCTGTGCTCGGTAGCAGGCTGGCTCTCGGTCTTCTGTCTCACGTTCTTAGAAGGATCCGTGAGATCCGTTCCCCTTGCAGATTTGGAGAATAACACCTTTATGCAGATGGCTGAGACCGGGCTTAACCAAGAGCCCTATGTGATGGCAGGTGGGAAACGAGCAGCAGCATCAGCCCTGACTGACATCCATGCCATGCCCTGAGGTGAGGGCCCTGGGCACCGAGGGCATCTGCCTCCTTGGGACTAGAATCCGTGATGCTCACGAACGACCTGTCTTGCAACCCTCTGTTCACCACAAGTCCCAGGCACCAGGTTTGGGGTTGGATGTCAGACACCCAGCATGGCACAGCAGGTGCGCACAACAGGTTCCAGGCAGCTCCACGCTCGCTTGTCTCCAGGCCTTGCATCCAGGCAGGGCAGTGGAGAGGGTTCCTGTCTCTGACCAGTGCCCCCGCAGTGCAGTGACTCCTCCTCTGCCTGCTTGTGTCCCTTCCTGGCTGTGTGTGGCTGATGGGTTCTGGGGACTTGGGCTGGGGGAGCGTTTCCAGCCCTGAGCACTACATTGTGCTGACTGGGCTGCGGGTGCAGTGTGGAGATACTTCCTGCAGCCCCTGCCAGGCCCTCGCCCTGAGCTGGGGACAGGACAAGGGGTCTGTGGGGAACATGCTCCCTTCCTGCTCCCATGGGTGGGTACTACATCTCATCCTCACGGCGAGACAGGGTGAAGCAGGTTGCTTAAAAATGGTGCCGTTGTGTCATGAGCAATCCGTGTATAATAAAAATATTATTTGAGCAATGAGTCAGGAAGTGTCTGGGCTGGCGTCCCGCACTGGGGCAGCCAAATTTTTCTGGCCCTGTGTGGCGGAGCTGGGTGTTTTGGTCCTACTGGCTCAATTGGGGCACGGCCGCGCTTGTGTGAGTTGTGGTACTGATGGTCCCATTGTGCTTCTGTTTCAGGGGAACGTGGAAGGCGTGCAGGCAGCCTCTGTGCTGTTCTCTACCAGCCTGGGAGCTGGTGGCTCCCCCAGTGGCACTGGGGATGTGGTTCACTGCTGTCTGGACAGCCCCTGGAGAGCTGGGCGTGCAGCATGTGCCCACCCTGGGACAGGGAGCAGTCAGTGATTTGGGGCAGGCTCTGCTTCTTGTTGCAGCTGTGGAGCCCCTGCTTCGGGCATGGTACCTATGGCTCATCTGCTGCCTTCTCTGTGGCTGCAGCCGTGACAGGCAGTGCCCCAGGTGGATTACTTGTGGGTGAAGCAACAGCAGCTGGTGAAAGTCTTGCTGAGCACTGGGAGCCAGGCTGGCTCATGATGGAGTGGAGCTGGCAGCTGCCTCCTGGCCTGAGGTGGTGCAGAGGTGGCCCAGTGCTGGGGCTGAGCATTTCTGTATGTCATGGGGCAGCTCTGGGCTCAGTAGAACAGATACATGGGGATGTAGATAGAGTGATGGTCCTAGGATTTTCTTTTGCTGCTTTTCTAGGTGGGAAGAAGAGTAACCCAAGTCTGAAGAATGCTCCTGCTCCTCCACAGCAGAGCAGGACTTCAGGCATCTCAGCACGTAGTTGCTGATGCACTCTGTGCCGCAGGCATCTGATGGCTGTGCTGGCATGGATCTCTTCCTGCCTCGTACATGAATCCAGCCCCGTCTCTCTCTACAGCCTCAGATCTGAGTCTGTGAGCTGTTGTGGTCTGGGTTGTCACAGCCATGTCCCCATGTGAGGGGACGGAGGGGCCTGGCCTTGCCCCCAGTGGCTGGAAAATGGTGAGGGGAGGAAGGGGGGCTTCCTTAGGAGCAGGCTGTAAGACTGACAGTCCTTCATGGGCACTGTGGGGTGCCTGTAGGTGTGGGGCCGCTGCCTGTGCTTGGAGGGACAGCTGACCCTGGGGGTCCTTTGGGGTCATGGGGAGCTTGGTCCTGCAGGGGACTGGGACATGATGTCTTCATCGTGGTCAGGTCCCAGGTGATGACCGGTGGTCTCTTTCTCTATGTCTCCTCGTCTCCCCCAGTGGAGAACAGGCAGCTGACCCTGAACCTGCAGACGGAGAACAAAGGCAGCGTTGTCTCCGGTGGAGAGCTGACGATTTTCCTGGATGGGCCGGCTGTTGATCTGGGAAGCCTGCCGAATGGCAGTGCTGTGACAGAGGGTGAGTGCCGCCCGGCTCCGCGTGCATGCAGCAGCTCTGTGCACGAGGCGGTGAGCAGCGGCGGGGAGAGGAGCGGGGCTGACAGCACGGCCCCCAGCACCCCTGAGCAAACATCTGAGTGCCGACAGCCACCTGCTCCCCCAGGTAAGGCCCTGGCCTTGCTCCAGGCTCCTGTGGGAGCTGATGTGCAGTGGGACACAGGAACAGGAGTGTCGATGGCATCGTGCCTGCCTCCTCTCAATGTTCAAGCAGTCCAGCCCCTTCCATAGCTTTCCCGTGTTGGGCTGTGCAAACACATTCTCTATTTGGTGAACCACTCAGAAAAGGGCTCTGCGTGGGGAGGGAGCATGTGCAGGGGCACGGACAGATGTCTGACTGCTCGAGGCTGCCTAGGGAGTAAGCAGAGCCCGTGCTGGGAAGTGCACTGCTTTGCATTCTCTCTGTTCCTTCTCTGCCTTGCTGGGTCATCCAGGTCCTAAAACCTGGGGGCCCTGATGATGCTGACAGAGCCCACAGTCATACTCAGAGCTGTGGGTTCCAGTGGGATGGGCAGAGCCACAGCCCAGGCTTGCAGAAGGGAGCAGAACTCCTGATGGATGGGGTCGAGGTGGATAGGGGGAAGAGAGCGGTTATGCTTTTAGGTCTCCTTTATGGCAGGAAAGAATGAAGGTAGAACTAATCAATGCTATAGTTGTTTTCTTTACCCACTTCTTCACCCACCCAGGGTCCCAGGTGCCTGGACGGGACCCCGGCAGCATGGCTGCAGCCACGGAGAGCAGACATCAGTCTGCCACCACAAACTGCTTTGGGAGCAGATCAAGGTAAGAGCAGCACCTGCCAGTCCATCACTGGGCAGTTACTGAGCCCCTGGGGGCACTCGAGCAGTGTCCTTGTGGCTCAAGGACATGGTAACTCCTCCAAATCTCCCAGCAAAGCAGCACACAGGAGACTTAGGGCAGGACTGGGTGCAGACAGCAGAGTTGGGCACGGTGGCCATGCAGCTGGAGTGCAGATGGCCGGTGTCTCCCTAGATATTTGTTTCTTAAGGCATATCAGGCAGTTTTTTGTGATTGCCCAGGCAGTTTCTCCCAACTGCTCTGCTGGCAGGCATGGGAATGGTGCATCAGGGTGTGTGGGGAGGACTGGCACTCAGAGCAAGGAGCCTGGTCCTGGCAATGGGGCTCTCACTGAGTGGCTGCTCAGTGGTGGGTGCTGTACCTCTGCCTGCAGCATGGCCCTGGGCCAGACTGGGAGGCACCATATCCATAGTGATGGTCACAGGAGAATGCTTCAGAAGGTCCAGGGAGAGCAAGAGAAGCAAAGCAAGCCTAGCTATAGGGAAATAACAGCTACTTCCAAAGGAAATGAGATGCTTGGGCAGCAGCCACCCTTCCTGGCACAGTGCCTGTCCCTGCCTTCTTGCTGGAATGGAGTGGCGCAGAGCTGCTCCTTTTTGGAGCTGTGGTTATTGAGGGACGTGTCACACTGTCAACATGGAGTTGAATTTAATGCCTATTTATATTTCTACGGTGTGGCAGTGGCCTAGCAGCCCATACAGATATTCTGGCTAAAGCGTGCCTGTAGTGATGAGCCTGCAGCCTGCACAGTAAGGGGCTCCTTGTGTCCTGCAGGCTTCAGGTGCAGGAGCATGGTAAGGAGCTCTGTGCTTGGAGCTCCTCTGCTCCTCTTTATCTACCAGGCGCATACAAGAGAGGAGTGAAGGAGAGAAATGCTTTTTAGCCCTAAAAAGTGATCCCATTCTTCGTACAGCGCTTGTTTGGGGTAGGGGAGTGGTGACGCATCGCTGACCGCAGTTTGTGCCCTGTTGCTCTCCTCTTGGTTCCTGCTATCTGGGTATTAACGCCATCTCAGAGATGAGATGGATCTCTGTCCTAGCAAAAGCTGCTCTTTGCAGCAGTTCTCAGCCGGTGCTGGAGAGCCTGGAACAGAAGAACTGGTTGGGATGCTCAAGCTGGAGACTGGGTGCTTCACATTCCCCATTGCTTTCCTCCTGTGAGTAGTGAATAGTTTCTGCTCTTGGTGTGAGCTCTGAGCATGCAAGATGAGTGTGCTAAGTCCTGGCTGGTGCTTCTGAAAGGACCTCCGGAGACCTTCCAGCTGTGGCAGCCTGAAGTTGTTACAAATCACAGCATGGGAAACGTTATCACTTGTTTTTGCTTCGTTCTGGGCTCATCTGAATGTCGGTTGTTCTGAACAATTCAACATTTTAGTGTAGCACTGCTGTATGGGGCAAAGCATGGCTGTGTGTACCCTGCACAGTCAGCTGCCTTCCCCAGGTCCTTTGCACGTGAGAATGCTGTTTGATGTTAACTCTGTTTATATGCAGAGCAGTGTTTATTTTCATGGGCTTGGTGATGGATGCTGGCAAACTTGCTCGCAGTCAGGATGGAAAGAAAAGTTTCATTCTTTGCTCCTCAACTATTTCTACACTGTCCCCCCAAGGGAAACTGCTTGCTCAGGGCTTCTCTTTTTTCTTCTGAGCAAATGTCATCTTGGGGTTTGCTGCTAATCTTGGTGACGGGGTGTGAAATTCCACAGCCCTCTGCATGAAGAGAAAACAGCCCAGAGGCCCCCAGCTGAGGTTTGGTGCTGTGGGTGCCCAGAGGGTTGCCACAATCTCCATTTGTTTTGTGGGGGCCTAAGAGGCCCCTCCTGACAGCATGGAATGGAGTAGTCTGCTCCGGGTTTGGGCTGGTGGGCTGAGCTCTGTTGGGTGCTGCCCCCTGACTTTGCTGTCACCTGCTGCAAACAGTGCAGACCCCAGTTATTCCTACAGTGCACTGCTGCGTTAACTTTTACTACCTAATCACATCCAAAGCCTACAGCTTAGCTGGTGATGAGCATGAGTAGCCCTGAGGACAGGCAGCACCTCTGGCTCCGTGAGCCCCATCCCCCTGTGAGGGCCCAATTCTCTGGCTGATCCACAAAGCACGATGCTGGGTGATGAGGATAAACTGGGCTGGGCTCACACTGATTTGGGGTTCCAGAACCAGGCACCAGTGCTGCTGGTTGGCGTGGGGTGACAGGTGCTCCTCCAGGTGCTGGTACCTGTTCTGTCCCCATTCCCAGCACCACGTGTGACATGGGATGTGGTGGGGAGAAGGCAGCCATCTCTCTCAGGGACAGGGAGAATTCCTCGCCAGCTGCCATTTGCCAGATTGCATCCTGAATGAGGATGCCTGGCACTTCAGTGGCTCCTGGCATCTTGTGCTTGAGTCGTGGGGATGGAATCCATTCCAGCATTTCACACCTGGGCTGGAGGTGAGCGTGGGTGATGTGCCTTGCTCTGCGTGCCCTGCATCAGCCTGTGCAGAAGGGCTGTGCCTTGATGGCTGACACCACTGCCCTTTTTGGCTGCACCTGTTCCCTCTGTCGTGGCCTGGGGTGGGTGATGGAAGGGGATGGTGAGGCTTATGCTCACCACCAGGGCAAGGGGCTGTCCCTGCCTGCTCCTTCCCAGCGGCACTGCTGCCTGTTCCCATCTGCATGCTGCTGTTTTTTCCCCCATTCCTATTTTAAGAGTTTGTTCCCAGTCTAGCCTCCGTCACGTGGCCTCACTGGGTTTGTTTCCATGCATCTATTAAAAGACAATGCCCAGTTGGGAGCGCTCGTAGGAGGGCTGGGCTGGGCGGCCCGCAGGCTAATTCAGGCCTGATAACCCTGTGCGGCCAGCTGGCAGCAGGGAAACATCCTGTTTTGGTTGCTAAAAACTGTGGGCAGCGCTTAGCTCATCTGCAGCAAGAAGGGTGAGGACAGGATTCATCCATCCATTGCTTCAACTAAGGATGGGCACAGAGATCTGGGTCCTGCAGCCCGCCTGGCTCTGAGCTGCTTTCTGCTTTCCCGTGTCTCTTCCCAGCCCCAGCCCTTCCTCTGCCTGGCGTTGCTGCGAGCTGCTCCCTGAGGAGCATGGGGAGGATCCAAGGGCTTGCTGGAGCTGGCGTGGGTGGCATGAGCGATGCTGTGCCCTGCCCTTGCCAAGCTGCTGTCCCCTCCCAGCTCGGCCTGGCCCTGGGAAGTGGGGACAGTCTGCAGGTTTTGCCCTTTTAAGGGGAGAAGTTGGCTGGAACAAAGCAAGCCCTAATCCCCACGTCCTGGTGCGGTGGCTGTGAGCGCTGCACTGCGCTGGGCGGGAGTGGCCCCACTCTGCCTGCGCTCCCCAGGCCTTGAGGTGGGAAGAAGGCTCTTCCCAGTGGTGCAGAGCTCTCACTGCCCCACATTACAGAGTGAACACCGAGGGGTCTGTCAGAGTGTTCCCTCGGTCAGCGGTTCTCTCACCTTGGTGTTTGTGCATGATGAGGTGCCCCGCTGCTGGATGTTCCCCTTTCCCTCATTGAGCATCCCTGTGAGAAGTTGGGCTCTGGCTGCAGTTGTTTCAGTGCTGCCTTTTCCCAGCTGTTCCTTCCTGGCACCACAGGCAGAAGCTTTCAGCATCCCCACCTGTCTCTGCGCGGGGCTCGTGGCTGCTGTGAGCGTTTCCTTGGGGGTCTCCTGGAACAGAAAGCAACAGGATGTGATCGTCCCTGGGCACACAAGCGATTGTCTCCTGTGGGCTCTGACGTGGAGGGTGGGATGCCAGGACCCGTGTGTAGGTTCAGAGAGCTGAGGTTTGGGGCAGGTATGTGCTGCTGTATCCCAGCAGGCAGGCAGACGTCTGTGCCTGGGGAGCAGCAGCACGGAGTCGGGGCAGGCAGCTCTCTTTAGGCCCAGCTGCGCCTCACCTCCTATTTCTTCCCCTGTAGGACGCACCGCCTCGCCGCTGGGGCCTCCAGGCAGGGTGCGGGCAGCGGGGAGCAAAGTCCTAACGCACGGAGCCGGCACCGGCAGCCACCCAAGAGCCCAACAGCCAGCAGCATGGCCAACGGCACCGCCAGCAGCACCGGTGAGCACGGCGGGGATCTGCTGCTGCAACGGGCGTGGGGTGGGCAGAGGTGGGGGTGAGGTCTGAGGGGGAAAGGAGTTTTCTACTGTGAGAAAGGGTCCTGTAATGCTGAGGGATTCCTTCCCAAAAAAGAACTGTTGATTTCACTTTGATAAGCCAGGCAGCTCCTTAAGGCTCACTGGTGGGACCTGTTCTGTCTCTCTGTAATGATTTCTGTGGCTCTTCTCTGAGAGGGCACAAACCCACCCCCAGAGGGGCACTCAGTCTTATGCCAGCAATACCTTTGGGAAGAGTTTTCCTTATCTTTCTTAAGCTTGTCCGCAAAGCCATGAATAACCCGTGGAGCAGGGACTGGATCTGGTGAGTGTGTGACTACGAAGCCATAAGCAGCTCACCAGCTTTTCTTTGCTGGTGTGCTGGAGCTGCCCAGTAGTGCAGGAAGCCTGCAGCAGCCCAGGGACGTGATGGTAGGATGGTGTCTGGCACTGTGGGCTTAGCAAGGGTCCCATGTCCCACATCCTGGGCGAGTACATGGTGCGGTGCTGTAGGGTGGGAGATGGCAGCAGGGTGACACCAGTACCACAGGTATTTCCTACTCCCCTGCACTGTTATTTTGCAGCCAGTTCTGTCCTTACTTTTGCTTTTGTCAGAGACCTGAAGGAAAAGCAGCATGCTTTGTTTTGGATAGAAGGAAATGTTTGGTTCAACCCAGGAGGACTTTTTTCCTTTTTTTTTTTTTTTTTTTTTTTTTTTCATTACTTTGGAAAAGCCTGGAGCACTGTAATTTCCATTTTGCCAAAATCCATTTTGGGAGGGAAGTGAGGGTGCAGAGGGCTGCAGTGGGACACAGCAGTTCAACCCGCAGTCCTGGCTTGCCCCAGTGCTGCTCAGTGCCGCTGCCTGCCCAGCCCATGCCCCACTGGGACGTACTCGCAGGCACGGTGCTGTTCCTGGGCTCTGCTCACTTTGCAACACGTTGTGCTGGCCCGGCCCCAGCCTTCCCAGTGACTTTATAGCTGTGCTGTCCTTGTTGCTGTTTATCTCTCAGCAGCGTGCCAGCTGGGGCGTTACACCTCGGGATGGGAGGTGCTGCCTGGGGGTGGTGCTGGATGCTGTGTCACGCTCAGCATGCCTCCAGAAGCCTTCCTCTTTCTCCCCGCTCGGTACATTCTGTTGATGTCAGTGCGTGCAGTTTGGGAGCAGACTGCTGCAAGAATTTGCCAGTTATGTTTGTAGCCCATAGCTGTAATTTCTTCTGAGAAGAAAAGGAAGTTACTGTGTGGCATGCGTTCTCCATGGCATAGCTTGGCCCCAGCCCTACTCCTCCCTGAGTCGTTATCAGTGGACTTTGAATAATCTTTTCCCCTGTTCTGTCCAGGACTGAGATCAATGCAATTGCAGGGCAGTCACCTGAGTCAGGTTCCCTCAGAACATTGGCACAGTTTGCTTGAAGCTCCTCAATCCTCTTCCTAGTGCTTGTCAGCAGTAAACACCTGGCTACTGTGCAGTGTTTATTACAAAACTTGGGCTTGCAGCTTTTTACATTTCTTAATTCTGATTTATGGAGCTCTATGTGCATCCCTTTTTGTTTTTAATTCTTTAATTTCACTGTGGCTGTGGCAGAAGTTATCCTCTGCTGTGCTGTCAAGCTGTTTTTTTTTTGCTAGCTGATAAATATTCATCAAGCAAATTTCCTTTCATCCTTTTGGTCTACGTTTTCCTCCTGATCAGTTTTCATTGCGGTTTTCCCTTGCTCAGTCCCTTCCTCTCTCCACAAACACAGTGGAACCAGCACCGCTCAGCTCCCAGCAGTGCCTGTTGTGGGGATGCTGTGAGGCTGCCCCTAAGCTCCTTGTCTCTGGCCTCCATGTCAGGCCCGCAGCACACCTGCAGGCAGCAGAAGGGATGCTGAGCACAAATGCAGTTGTCTGCTTTTATCTCAAGAGGAAAGATGGAGGCAGGGGCTCTGTGGGACCTGGCCTGGCCTGGAACTGTGTGCTCCCTGTTGCCACCACCATTACCGTGGCTGTGGGGCTGCGCCAGGGTGGTGGAAGAGCCAGTGCTGTTCTTGGTGCTAATATCTCTGCCCTCTGCCTTCCCAGTGAACGGCGATGTGGTGGGAGCTGCGGACATGGAAGAGGAAAGGCCAGCTGTGGGGACAGCCACGCTGGCTGCGGCGACATTGAACACAGCTGAGGGCTCTGTTGCTGCATCCACCCTTCCTGCCCTGCCTGGCTCCACAGAAGCTGAGGAGGCAGCACCCAGCACCCCGCAGGCACGGACAGCAGTGCAGGCTCAGGACTCTCTGCCCCCCGGGTAAGCAGCTCTGCCTCCTCCTGCTGGAGGCTCTTGTTCCCTAATGGGGCAGTGTGGCTGAGTGTCCTGGGGATACTGGAGGAGGAAGGCACAGCCCTGGAGGCAGTGTGAGAGCTGCTGGGACACTACTCTATGCTGCGAGAGGGGATGGGTGTTGGAAGCTGGGGCCATGCAGCAGGGCTCAGCAGCAATGACCTTCCTGCTCAACAGAGCTCAGGGCATGGGAAGCCCTGCAAGGGGCTGTGAGGACAGCCTGGGAAGGGAGCCTAGAGCAGAGAGGGGGTGCTGCTGGGAGTGCAGAAGCATCCAAGAAGACCTGCTGTCTCTGTCTGGTTCTGCTGAATGGGGATCTGTGTCTTCCATCTCTGACACAGCTTGTCCTGTCCAGCCAGAGCTGGGTCTGTCTGTGTTGCTGGACTGCTCTCTCCTCCTTTGGGCCAGGACTCTGATCTGTATCCATTGTGGGGCCCTGGGGAAGTGAACAGTGAATCGCATCTCCACTGTAAGTGGCCTCCCAAGGCTGGTGCCTGGAGCAGCGACGTCCTCAGAGCTCCTGTAGCTGCTCAAGGGTTCAGTGGGAAGAAAACAGGATAGAGAGAGACTGTGGATCTGCAGGGAGCTCCTGAAAGGGGGGCATGGATATTAAAGAGTGGAACATGACAGAAATGGGCACTGTGGGGAGCTGGGAGGGATCATCCCTCAGTTTGTAGGTCTGGTGCTACTGGATCCTGGACTCTTCTGGCATTACTGGGAGAGAGGGAGAGAGTCATCATTGGGAAGGTAAAACCCGGTCTTTCACTGTGCCAGCCCTGTGGCGCTGTGGGAAGGCCTGGGACTGGGGTTCCTCTCTGGCTGCTTTGTGTCTTGCTGGGCGTTGGAAAGAAGTGGGACTGGGGCTGGGGCAAGCTGAGCCTCATCCTCCACCTTTCCTCCACCTTTGCTCTGGACTGCAAATGCAGAGCAGCACAGGGGGGTTGCAGTGCCTCGAATTCATATGAAGGGAGCTGTTTATTTTCCTCTGGCTAAGCCGATGCCTGGAAGGTCAGGGCCTCGCTGATGTGTCAGTCACAGGTAATTAGGGTTAACGGCTCAGTGTGCCTTTATGCGGGGTGTGTGAGGGTTACTGTTCTCCAGCCTGAGCGCTTCCTGTTTCCAGGCAGCTGGAAAAGTCCAGGACTCTGAAAAAGGTCTTTATTCCAACCCATGCCCCTTCCTGTGCTTACTGGGCAAATGGGAGCTCTCCTCCCCACCTCTGCCTGCCTGAGGTGCAGAGATGTGGATACTCCTCCCCCGGGTGTAGAGAGGGGCCTTCATTTTCCCTCCCTACTTCTTACCACAGGATTTGTAGTGGGAGAGGAGAACAGCAGCATCTTGCATGCATTGCCTGAGCTGTAGTGGCTGCTCTGCTCAGTTGGGTTCTGAGTGTTGAGGTGCTCCCAGGTGAATCCAGAGTGGAGCACTGGATCTAGCTGGGCCATGAGCCCTGTGTGAGGGCAGCTGGAGGCTGCTGCCTCTGCTAAGCAGGGATTGCAGGAATGTCCATGGCCTTGAGAATGGTATAAGTGAGCTCTGGGGGATCTCTCCCAACATGAGGAAGCTGCCTCTGGGTGGCTCACTGCGCTGGGGGATTGCTGTGATTCGTGGTTTGGGGCCCAGTATGGGATGAGGATGCAGCTGGCTTGCAGGAGACAGTGATGCCTCAGGCAGGAGGCATGTGGACCAAACCAGACTGTTCTGGCACTGTGCAGTCCTCACCAGCCCTGGAGATCACTAGATCCCTTGCAGAGCTGCTGGGAGCCATCGTGTCACTGTCCCTAAGAAGCCACCAGAAAGCTGCCTGTTCCCTGGGCTCCTCTGAGCATCTTCTTTCATCCCAGGAGCAGGGAGAGCACTCACGCTGTGCAGAGCAGGAGCAGCTCCAAGCCCATTCCTCCTTGCTGGCTGGGCTGCGTGTGGAGTGCCAGCATGTTGGGTTCATGTGGGGATCCGTACCTCTTTATGTGGCCCAGAGAGCTCTCTCTGAACATCTGCACCAGATGTGCTGAGCACAGAGGCGACATACAACTAGTGGTCTGTTTGGGGCTGGAGGGTTCTGGAAGGTGTCCTGGATTGTTCCAGCCCCAGCTGTGTGTGGAGCCCTCCCTCGCTCCGGCTGCTGAGGAGCGGCTGTGCTGTGGGAGCAGCCCAAAGCCTCAGCGTGGGGCCCTGGCCCTCCTGCCTGGGTGCCCAAGGGACAGCAGGGCCACGAGAGCGACTGGCCCCGCATCTGGTTCCTATCAGCAGTGATCCCATGCAGGGACGGGCGCTCGCTGCCATTCTGCGCACACAGCCTCATCTGCGCGCACAAAGAGCTGCATTATGTGCCTGGCAGCAGGCACGCTGCTGTGGTTTCTTACACAAGGAAGGTGTTCTGTTTGGACTGCAGGACTGCCCCACAGCCTCCGCTTGCCTCTCCCACGGTGCACATGGTGCTCACTGGGGCTGAGAGCTCCCAGCCTTTCTCAGAGCGGTGGCACAGCTGTGCCATGCATGGACCTGCAGTCATGGTGCGTGTGGCTCTGGGCTTATGTCTTACCCTGGGGGCTTGGGGGAAGTGGGAGTGCTGCAGATGATGGGCACTGGTGCTTGGAGCACCTTCGCAGAGCGCTGTGTGGGCCTGCCAGCCCTCATCCATTCAGCTGCCAGCACAACAGAAGTGAGTAGGTTAATTTCCCAGGGCTTTTAGTAGTGATTAATTGAGACCGAAGATTGAATTGGGAGGGAGACCTGTGGGAGCAGAAGCGTGGCAGGAGAACACTTGATCTGTTGGCAGCTGTGTGCTGCAGAGTAAGAGCTGACAAAGCGTGGTGCTGCACAGGGACTCTGTGTTTGCCAGAGCGTAAACTTCCATGAATGAGTGAATGGAGTTGAGGAATGGCTGCAGTGCTGTGCAGGACTGGGCTACCCCATGGCTCTTGGTTCCCTGGAGGACTGCATCCTCGTGGTGTCTGGCAGCAGTGGGGCTGCCAGGGGAACACAGCCCCAGCCCAAACTTGAAAGTTCTACTTTAAAAGTGTATGAAAAGAAACAAAACAAAAACACATGGACATAAATCTTCACCTGAATGAAGTGACTGATTCTCCTACTTTCTGCAGGAAGTCAGGGATCTGTGCTCCCAAAGACACCTGTCATCAGCACACAGCCTACTGCAGCACCCCTGCTCTGTATATAGTGAGCCAAAGAGCTGCTGTCATACTGTGCTTTAAAGAAAGCTTAAACTTCTGTAGCTAAGCAGTGCAAGGAGACAGGTTACTAACCCACCAGATGCAACTCTCTAATAAGTTGACTGTTAATTACTATTGGCCCACTGGTCCCTGGGGAGCCCTTACAGGTTAATGCATTGTCTGGGTAGTTCTGGGTCCCTGATGCTCATTCCAGCCGAGCCCCTCTGCTGCCCTGGCTTAGCACAGGTTCCTGCATGTCTCCTGCTGGACCTGCTCTGCCCGGTGCTGGAGCTCTGTGGGGCAGGCATGGAGAGCAGCAGGCTCTGGTTGCTGCCAGGATCCGTGCTCTGCCATGCTGGGGTTTGGGCTCTCTGCCTGCCTGTACCAACTGTGATCGTCTCTTTCAGATGGGAGCAGCGGGAGCTGCCAAACGGTAGAGTCTACTATGTAGACCACAACAACAAGACCACCACGTGGGAACGACCGCTCCCGCCAGGGTAAGGGCCTTGGGGTAGGTGTGAGGTGGGGTGAGGTGGGAGGGCTGAGCTCTGGGTGGGCACACACAGACACACACCACGTGCCCCAAGCCTGGAGCTGGACTGCATCTTCTCAGAGGGAGCTCTGTTCTTACTGCCCTGGGGTGTGCTTGTTCTCACACATGATGCTGCACAGCTCTGTGAAACCTGCGGAGAGATCTCTGCAGAACTTGTATTGGTGGGGGAGGGTCAGCCTTTTGTTTGCAGGATTTACACAGTCCTTGGGTCACAGGGGCTGCATGTAGCCCTCAGGGCCCATGCATTTTCCAGAAGCTTGTTGAGTTCTCACCTCTTCTCTGTGCCCCAGAAGCAGAGAAGTCAGTACAGCCAAACTGCTGTTAGCTGGGTTAGCTCACAGCTGGAAGGAGCACAGTGCTTCACAGCCAGCGTAGCAGCGAGCCTGAAACACAAACCAGTCCTGGGAGCTCTGGATCCCCATGCTCACATGCTGCCCTCAGTTGAGCCGTGATTCCTGCAGCCCTTCTTGCCTCTTGCTGGTCCTCCAACAGCTTAAAAGCTGCCTAGTATTCAGAAGGAAGCTATTCCCAGGAAAAGACAGGTTTGGGAGGGCCGCAGATGTGCTCCTTCTCTCCTCTTCTAGAATCACAGAGTTGCAGCATGGTTGGGTTGGAAGGGACCTCACAGCTCCCACAGTCCTACCCTGTGCTGTGGGCTCAGTGCCCCTTCCAGCTCACACTGCCCAGGACCCCATCCATGGCCTTGAACACCTCGAGGGATAGGCACCCACAGCTCTCTGGGCAGCCTGTGCCAGTGCAGGTGTTTGGTTGGTGCCTTGCCTCTGCCAGGTGCCAGCCTTCCTGGAAGAACATGTACTACATCTCAACCATGGTGCCTCACTTCACTTGGAGCAGAGCTTCTGTGTGCCCTTGTGGCAGGGTTCACCTTGTGCTGAGGAACCCTTTCAGCAGGAACTTGGTTGTGCTGGGGCTGGGAGTGAAGCCCCTGCGTTGGAGGGCAGTGCTTAATCTGTGGGAAGTCAGCCCCTGCTGTCAGTGTGAGAGGAGAAATCAGTCCCCAGAGGGGACCTCAGCCTCAGCAGCACTCAGTATTCCTCCCTTGGAGGCTGCTTTTCTCACCTGTGTTTCTGGAGGGTGTTGATGCCATGGAGCGTTTCCGAGTCCCTGTGCCTTCACACAGTGATAGCACTGAGTAGTTACGTGGCGTGTGAGGTGAGCATGAGGTGCAACCTGGGTCTGTGCTGGTTGTCACCACTGTCCTTTGCTGCTGCAGTGCTCTCAGCAGGGGTGTGCCAGACCCTCTGTCTCCTGAAGGGCTGTTCGGCAGCGTGGTGCCATGCGCTGGGCTCTGAGCAGCAGCAGGAGGAGTGCTGGAGGAGGTGGGACGGTGGTCTGCTCACAGTAGGGTGTGGAATCCTTGGAGAAGAGGGCATCCGGCTCTAAGAGCACTGGAACAGGGCAGCAAGTGCCCAGGGAGCCCTTTTTCTAATGACAGGTAGTGACATCTTGCCATGGTGCCTCCAGGTGGGAAAAGCGCGTGGACCCCAGGGGCCGCTATTACTACGTGGACCACAACACCCGCACCACCACGTGGCAGCGCCCCACGGCCGAGTACGTCCGCAACTACGAGCAGTGGCAGTCCCAGCGCAGCCAGCTGCAGGGAGCCATGCAGCAGTTCAGCCAAAGATTCCTGTACCAGGTGAGAGCCGGGGGCTGGGTGGCAGCAGGAGGCAGCGGCTGTGTGCCCAGGGTGCCCATGGATGGGTATTGCTGCCCACGCAGCTGGGCAGTCTCTCCAGGCCCTGTGGATGGAGCTGGAGGGGGCAGTAGAGGCGGCAGAGGAGGGGGCTCCCGCTGAGGCTGGGCTGTGATCTGGCACCGACTTCTCTGCCAGGCGCCTTTGGAGCCACTCCAGTGCTGCGCGAGTCACCCTGGCTGTGTTCTGTGAAGTGCAGAGGGAGGGACTCGCACTCCAAATTTAGCCTGATGAAACGATTGTACTTCTCATTTTGAGCTTTCTGCTCTCAGCAGCGATGGCTCCTGCTCTGCCTTCCTCTCCACGGGGATTCTGTGCTTTGCTTTGTCCTCTTGGTCCCAGTGGTGGCTGCCTCCCCTCCTGGCGGTGCAGAGCCCCCTCTGGGTGGTGCTGCAGCAGGGTCCCTCCACAGCAGACTGCCTGGGAGCAGCACTGCGTGCACCCAGGGGTCTCATGGCACAGGGCCGTGCTTGGAGGCTGCAGATCATGGAGCTGCTGATTGCCATCTCCCCGGGGCCCTGCGCCGAGCTCTTGTTTCTCTGCTCTGTTGGTTTGAATTGGTTATTTGTAAGTCACAGTGAGGCGGTAGCCCTGGACGTTCCTCAGCTTCTTCTCTGGGCAGGGAGTGAGGGAGCTACCCGAGGTGCACCGTGCTGTGCCGGGGCCTCTCCTGTACTCATCCTGCTGCAAGAGGAGAAGCCAAGAGGTGTGGGCTGCTCAGCCCCAGTGCACCCCGGAGCATCCCTAGGGTGCTGGGCTGGCCCCTGAGTACTGGCACCCATTCTAGGCGGGCAGGAGACCCTGTTGCCCCGGTGGTGGTCGTGCCCCATCCCCACGGAGGTGGGCTGGGATGCTGATCCCTCTCTTGAGTCTGAGCTTCAAGAGGTGTGATGAAAAGGCCTTTTGTGTTACAACACGTTTCTTATTGAACCCCAAAGTCATTTCCGTACTCCTGCACTGAATCGCCGGCTGCCGGGGCTGCGCCTCCGTCCCTGGAGCTGTGGGCTAACACAAACCAGGGCGCAGCGCCTGGGGCACCCCCCGCTTTAGGCTGGGTGAGGCCGCCCGCCCGGCACAAGAAAGGTGCTTTGTGTGGCCCCGACCTGCTGGGGGGGGGGCGGCCGGGAGCCGCCTGTCTGCGCGGCCATGAATGTGCCCTCAGTGCGAGCGCATCCCGGCCCTGCGTGCCGCCCGGGAGGAGGGGGGTGCGGGCCCCGCCAGGAAGCGCTGGGCGTGGACAGGGCTTGTGGGAATGATTTCATTGGAAAGGCCTGCGATATTTTTTCCCTCTTGTGTGTGGTTCTTGGAGGAGGCTGGAGGTGTATCTGCTGGGGAGAGCCGCTCGGGCCAGCGGGAGCTGAGCGGCCGTGCACATCTGGAGCTGCAACATGGTCCCGCTGCTCCCTGTGCTGCCCCCAACCTCTGTTTAGGTTGTGCTTTTTTTCCTTTTTTTTTTTTTTAACACCCCTGAACGTGCAATTGTTTTGTTTTGTTTTGTTGTTGGTTTTTTTTTTTGTTTTTTTTTTTATTTTTTTTTTTTAAAGTACTTTGGGAGCTGTGGGCCAATAGGAGGCGAGTGGGGAGCAGGGCTGTTGACTCCCCTCCATCTGCGCCTCGCTGTTCCTGCCTGTCCTGGCCCTGCTTTTTATTTTGTGTTTTGCCCTCTCTCATCTCTAGCCGTCCGGTGTCCCGTCTGACAATGATCCTCTCGGTCCCCTTCCTCCTGGCTGGGGTAAGTACAGAGCCCCTTACCTGCCTGCCCTGCTGCATTCAAGATGCTCCATGCATCTGTGTGTCCTTCCTGCCTCGGTGTGTGCCCCATCTGGGGACACAACGCTCCCTGTACTCTGCTGTATGTGGGGCTGTCTGCCTACAGTTAGCTCCATCTCTGATTTGAAATCCAGCTTTTTTCCCATTTCTTTCCACCTTTTTTCTCTTTTCCTGGAGAATTTCCCAGCTCTCTCTCTCTCAGCTACTGAATGCAGAAGTGTTTGTGGTTGTTCTTTGGACTGTGGCAGAGAACAGGGATCCAACTCCTTGCTCGGCCCTGGAGACCTTCAGTGCTCTCCCTGCTGCCACGCAGTGCCCCTGGGTGCCCTACCCCCAGGCACAGCAGGATGGCAGCTGTGTCCCCAAGTGCTGCTGCTGTCCTTGTGCCTCATCCAAAAATGTGGGGGTACCTTGGTGAAACTGAGCTAGAGAGGGCTGGTGGTCGGAGCAGCAAGGGTCTGGTGACATGGAGGTGGCATTAATGGGAGCTGAGGGATGTGGGGTGCCAGGATGTTTTAAAAGGGCCCCAGTGCCATCTGCAGAGTGCAGATGGCCCCTATCCTGAGGGAGGCATCTCAGTAGGAGGGTGGACTGGGGTGTGGGGGGCTGCCCTGTCCCAGTGCCTGCACCCAGGCAGATGGATGGGGTCCCTGGGGCAGCTGGAGCCAAGAGCAGAAGTGCTGGAGCACCCGATCACCATGCCTGGTGCATCCGCAGGGCTGGGGGCAGGAATGTGCCATCGCCACGTTCCCTCCCACAGCCTGAGAGCGAGCAGGGGGGGACAGGGAGGGGACAGGGAGTGCGTGCAGAGCGTCCCTGCCAGCATGGAGTGGGGCTATGCTGGGAGCACATGTGGTGATGGGGACACGGCAAGCGGAGCAGGCGCAGAGCAGTGGGCAGCAGTGGTGCTGGTGTGAGCAGTGTTTGTTTTATGGCTGTATGCAACAGAGAGGGGTGTGTGCATGCGTGCGTGCTGACAGCGGGACTGCGAGAAAGCATCCCTGGGGTCATGGCCCCAACAGGGTGCCCCTGTGGACCCTGGGCCTTTCCCAGAGGCACTGCAGCTTCTGCACATGGAGAAAATGTAATTTTACAAATCATTACTTTTGCTTTTTTAATTCTGCTTTCTCCATATGTACTGTAGCAGAGCAGGTGGAGAGGTGGGAAGGGAGGGCTGTTCCTGGGACACCAGTGCCTGCAGCGCTCCAACTACGGCTATTCCTCTGTTTCCTCCTAGAAAAGAGACAGGACAACGCGCGGGTGTATTACGTGAACCACAACACGCGGACCACGCAGTGGGAAGACCCTCGCACACAGGGGTAGGTGCCCGTGGGAAGAGCAGGGGCTGATGGTTGTGGTGGGACACCGAGCACTGAAACGTGGCTGTGAGGGTGCTGAGCCTCTTAGGCTGGGGAGCCAGAATCAAAAGCGTGGTGCTGGAGGTGCGAAAGTCCAAGGCAGTCTCCAGGAGGAGCGGCGTGAAGCAGGGAGACACCTCCCAGGTGGCAGTGTGGTGACCCCATCTCTGCCTACAGGATGATCCAGGAGCCACCCTTGCCTCCTGGCTGGGAGATGAAGTACACCAATGAGGGTGTGCGCTACTTTGTGGACCACAATACGCGCACCACCACCTTCAAGGACCCACGGCCAGGATTTGAGTCTGGGTATGTGCTTGCAGCTGGGGCTGGGGGTCGCTCGTTCACAGCTCATCCACCTGCTTTGTGGCAGGGACGCTCAACATTGGGTGTAGGTGAGTGTAGGGCCTTGCACTGCATGGAGGACAGCTCCCTGCATGCAGTGGGGGTCATCTCCCACCAGTGTGTGCTGGAGCCATGCCCTGAGTCCATGCTGGTGCTGCTTTTGCAGGAGCAAGCAGGGTGGATCACCGGGTGCCTATGACCGGAGCTTTCGCTGGAAGTACCACCAGTTCCGCTTCCTTTGCCACGTGAGTAGTGCAGCTGAGGGCTGCTGAGCCCCCAGGACAGGGGGTGCTCATGAGTGGGCTGATGATGTGGGACTGTCATGCCAGCCCACATATGGCCTCGTGTCTGTGCCTTGCAGTCCAATGCCTTGCCCAGCCACGTGAAGATCAGTGTTTCCCGACAGACTCTCTTTGAGGACTCCTTCCAGCAGGTGAGGATGTGTGGAGGCCCTGGGAGTTGTGGGGGTGTCCCCCTTTGAGTGTCCCACAGTGATGTGCTCCTTGCTCCCCCCCACAGATCATGAACATGAAGCCCTATGACCTGCGACGCCGCCTCTACATCATCATGCGTGGTGAGGAGGGCCTGGACTACGGCGGCATCGCCAGGTGAGCATGGGGCCACATGTCTGCTGTGGGGCAGGGTGAGCCCCCCATGGCATGAGGCCTTCTAGGAGTCTCAGAGTTCCTGGCCCTCCTGCAATGCCTGCTCAGGCAGAGGAGGTGAGAACAGTGTAAATTCTGGGAAGGCATTGCGCTCCCCTATCCCTTGTACAGGGAGGGCCGCAGGTCCAGCTGGGCTCTCCTACAACCCCCAGTGCAGACCGGCCACTGGGCTGAGCTGCCTCTGCTCCCTGCAGCCTGCAGATAGGCACTGGTGTTTCTTGAGATGGCGGTGTGTGCCAGGGCAAATGTGCTGCTGGCTTCTACCATCTACCCAGTGGATGGTGCTGTGTGGCACTGGGCTGCGCCTCCAGCCAGAGGGACTGTCTGTTGTCCCCTGGCCAGCTTGCCTGGATGTCCAGCTCAGTGGTGGGCTTGCACTGCCTCTGCTGTCCCAGAACCTGTGCTGCAGTTTGCTCCCCACCTTCTACTTCCCAGTGATGCTGCTGCTGGCTGTGGGCAGGGCTCCTGCTGCCTGCATCTCTCTGTGTCCTGCCAGTGGTTTTACCCTATGGTAGGTTACGTCATGCTGTTCTACCACAGGGTAGAACCACGGACGGGATGCCGGGGCTGCCTCTGCGTCTGAGGACTGCCAGCGGTGGGGGAGCAGAGTGAGGGGCTGTGCCTGTTCCCCACTGCTTGGAGTGGGAAACTGGGAGGTAGGGGAGAGGTTTGTAGAGAAGGATAGCTGATGTTTGTGGGCACTGTATGTATGTGCACAGGCACGTGTGCACGTTTGACAGGCTGGATTCATGCAGCTACATTTTTCTTACTGATGTCTCCAAAGGCACTTTGTGGCCAGGTCCTGGGCTGCCCAATACTCAGACCAGGGCTCAGTGCTTGCCCCGCACCCCGAGGAGCCGGGCACTGTCTGTGCAGCTGTGCTCCACGGTCATGGGGCTGTCCCCACTGCTGGGGCAAAGCCTCCCGTGGCATCCCCAGGTGCTGATGTCTGCTCACCACTGTCCACTTCCTCTTGCCCAGGGAGTGGTTCTTCCTCCTGTCCCACGAGGTGCTCAACCCCATGTACTGCCTCTTTGAGTATGCCGGCAAGAACAACTACTGCCTGCAGATCAACCCTGCCTCCTCCATCAACCCTGACCACCTCACATACTTCCGCTTCATCGGCCGTTTCATTGCCATGGTAAGAGCCTGGGGCCGGGGAATCTGCTTGGCAGGGTCACCCCCTCTGAGCATTTTCTTGCTTAGTCTGTGCCCAGAGGAGAGTGGCCACAGCAGCATGAGGTGACATGTTGCAGGGCTGGGGCTGGGCCATGAGGCTGGGGTCGCAGTTTCCTGAGGCCGTGCCTCCAGGCCCTTGGCTGCCATCTGGTGCTGTCGGCTCTGCAGCTCCCGGGGCTGTTTTTAGCCCCGTGTGAGGTTTTCCAGCTGCCCCTGCTTGGCTCCTCCTGTGTTCTCACCCTCCCCAGGGCCTGGTGGGCATAAGGCTGCAGTGGTACCAGATGGGGCAGGGTCTGCCCAAAATGCTGCGCCCTGCCCAGATCCCCCTGCCCTGCCCCGCGCCTCGCAGGATCCCAATAAAACTCCAGACTATTACTCACCGCTGGGCTGTTCTAGACAAGCGTCTGCATTATTTTTGGCTGCCTTTGCCTTAGGCTCCTGGAAGCCAGGGATTCAGGGAAGCCACGGCAGAGCTCTGTTTAAACAAGTGCTCTTAATAGAGCTGTGAGGGGAGAAGGAGCTGCAGTGGAATTCATGGTGGGGAGGGGAAGGGGTTGCAAGCCCCATGCTGTGGTTTCAGCCGTGATCTGCAAGGAGCCATCCTGGTCCCCCTGACCCTCCATTCCCACGCCCTGTAGGCTCTGTACCACGGGAAATTCATTGACACCGGCTTCACGCTGCCCTTCTACAAACGGATGCTGAACAAGCGACCCACTCTGAAGGACCTGGAATCCATTGATCCAGAGTTCTACAACTCCATCATCTGGACCAAGTGAGTGCCTCACGCTTGGGGGCTGTGTGGGGGCGTGACAGTGCTCCCCCTGTGGCCCCTCACGTCCTGGTGCCATTTGCAGGGAGAACAGCCTGGAGGAGTGTGGCCTGGAGCTCTACTTCATCCAGGACATGGAGATCTTGGGCAAGGTGACCACCCATGAGCTGAAAGAGGGCGGCGAGAGCATCCGGGTGACAGAGGAGAACAAGGAGGAGTACATCATGTGAGTCCGGTCCTGATGCCCCCTTGGGCACTTGGCTTCGGAGCAGCACTGGGTGGGAGAGTGGGGCTGGGGACGTGGCCCCTTCTTGGCTACGTGGCTTTGACGAGCCCGAGCTGGCGCTGCACTGCACTGCGGTCTGGCTGCCTGTGGTCTGGGTGGCTGCCAGGACTCTCAGGAAGAGGAGAGGGGAGAGGGGGTGCAACTCCTCGCCTCGTCCCACGCTGCTCGCCAGCCTGTGTATTGGGGGGCTGCTGGGGCCACCGTGGTGCTGCTGGTGATCACCCTATGGTGACTGCTCCATCCTCAGAGCCTTCTGCTGCTCGTGGGCTGGGAAGCAGTGGGAGGGAGTCGTGGAATCACAAAGGGTGAAAAAGATGATGAGAGCCCTGGTGCCACACACAGACCCCTGCCTGCTTTCGCAGGCTGCTGACGGACTGGAGGTTCACACGGGGTGTGGAGGAGCAAACCAAGGCATTCCTGGACGGCTTCAACGAAGTGGTGCCACTCGAGTGGCTGCGGTACTTTGATGAGAAGGAGCTGGAGGTGAGCAGGCCCTGCCCCAGGCAGGCCATTGTGGTGCCCGTGGGGTGTGTGAGCTCTGCTCAGCCCTGACCTCTGATTTCACCCATTGGTTCAGAGGTGTGCCCGCCTGAGGCAGCAGGGGCTGCAGGGCTGCATGTTGGGTCTCTTGGTGAACACTTCTCATCTGAGGCAAGGAATTCCCTTGCTCGCTTCTGTTGCTGGAGCTTGTGCCTTGCACAGCCCCAAAGGAGTCAGTGCTGTGAAGTGTGAACATGGGGCTGTATTTCCATCCCCCTGACTGTTGTCCATCCCCAGCTGATGCTGTGCGGCATGCAGGAGATCGACATGAACGACTGGCAGAAGAACACCATCTACCGGCACTACACCAAGAACAGCAAACAGATCCAGTGGTTCTGGCAGGTGAGCCCCAGAGCCTTCATGTGCCATGCTCAGGGCCAGGCACTGCCTGAGGCTGTGGGGTGATGGGGATCCTCCTCCCTGTGCTTGCAGGTGGTGAAGGAGATGGACAACGAGAAGAGGATCCGCCTGCTGCAGTTTGTGACTGGAACGTGCCGCCTGCCTGTCGGGGGCTTCGCAGAGCTCATTGGTGTGTGGCCGTGCTAAGGTTGGGCAGGGAGGGGGATGGTGGCCATGCCTGGCTCTGGTTGCTGGTGCTGAGTGTTCGTGCTCCCATTCCAGTAGGGTAGCGATGAAGCTGCAGCGACATCTGAGTGAGGCAGTGTGCTTTGTTGCTTCGTTGGTGCTGTACTGAGACAAATTCCTTTAGCATGAACTGTGCCACTTAACTTTGTCAGCCCAGTTTGTAATCTCATTTTGAATGAGATTTGAGTGGTTTTTTGTTCTTTTTTTTGAGTATCTTTATGGTAAGGGTGATGGAGCACTGGAGTAGATTGCTCAGAGAGGTTGTAGAGTCTCCTTCTATGGAGATATTCAAGACCTGTCTGGATGCCTACCTGTGTCATCTATTGTGGGTATCCTGCTTTAGCAGGGGGTTGGACTGTATGATCTCTTGAGGTCCCTTCCAAGCCCTATGATTCTGTGATTCTGTTTTTTAATTTTTTTTGTGTGTGTGTGCTATGAAACCCCTTTTTTGGAAAACCATAGCGTGGCATTACTATGTGTCTGCCCTTTAACTTGCTGCTTTTTAGGCCCCCTCACAGCCTGCCCACTGTTTTCTTGGAACTGATGTGTACCCGCTCACTTAACCCATTCGGTTGTTCTTACTGCCATATCAGCCTTTTTCCAGCCCCCTGAAGCCTGTCCAGGGCTAACCATTTGTTAAAAGCAGCCTCAGTGACTCAGACCTCCTGAGCCAGGTCCCTGGAAGTGTGCAGACAGACTGCTTGGTCCTGTGGCTCTGCAGAGGATCTGCGTTTCAGTGCTCACTGCTGAGCCACCCACCTTGCACTCTGTGCTGTGTCACTGCATGCTCTGGAAAACACTGTTCTGCTTTCCCTTTGGATGCTCTCTGTAAAGGGCTCAGAGCAGGCTCTGAGTACAGCTCTGGGTTTGTGACCCCGTGTGCTGTAGCATCGTAGGGCTGAGGCACTCTGCTGGCTGTAGGGCCAGGTCAGAGTTCTTTTCCAACTCCTGACATATAATGAGATCAGCTCTGCTCCTCATTAACAGGCAGCAACGGGCCTCAGAAATTCTGCATCGATAAAGTTGGCAAAGAGACGTGGCTGCCTCGGAGCCATACGTGGTGAGTGGCTGCTGTGTGGGGCACATGGGGACAGCTCCTGGTGTCCCTGTGGGGCTGCGTGGGGGTCTAGCTGCCTGTATGCCCTTCTCCCATGGGATGGAGCTGCTGGGGGGACCCGTGGGAGGGGACCCTCTGGTGGGGAGCAGGGTGGCAGCAGCACTGGGCTCCCTCCCCACTCACAGCACCCTGTCTCACCAGCTTTAACCGCTTGGATCTGCCTCCGTACAAGAGCTATGAACAGCTGAAGGAGAAGCTGCTGTATGCCATTGAGGAGACGGAAGGCTTTGGCCAGGAGTGACGGAGCCCTGCTGCTCTCCCAGCAGCTCCGGCGGTGCTCGCAGCACTGCTGCCTGTGGGATGGTGCGGGTGGTGCTGATTCTGTTCTCTTGTTCCTGTGTGAGGTCTGCACACACAGCCCTGGGGCAGTATCCATGTGTCCTTCCCAACCCAAACTGAAGTTGGGAGGGGAAAGTGGGAGCGAAAGCCCAGCCCTGCTCAGCCTGGGGCTGAGGAAGGGCCAAACCCAGCCTTGTGCACACAGTGTGCACCACAGCTCCTGTCCCTTCGCCGGGACACGGGGACATGGGTGCTGCGTGGGGCTGTGGGCTGCACTCCCTGTCCCAGAGGCTGCTTCATGTTAGTGGGATTGTCCCTGCTTGTGGGAAATGGCTGTGCACCTGGAAATGGACACAAGCAGCTTCTGACTGAGGTGCTGAAGCCAAGCCCCAAGGTTCTCTGCAGTTTATTTTGCCCCTCTCCCTGAAGCAGTACTCAGCTCTTCCCCATGTGGCACAGAGCCACTGATGGACTCCAGCCCTGACTGAAGGAGCCAGGCTGGGGCTTTTCCCAGGCTTAGTTAAAGGAGATCTGGTTTAGGTGTAGGCTATCCCTCCTGTTATTTTTTCAGCCTTCCTGTGGCGTTTCAGTAGATAATTAAGGATGAGAAGTGGCTCTTGAGCTGACTCAGGTGCTCATAAAGATATATTTGTGTTTGGGCCATATCTTGCTCCCAGCAAGGTACTTGGATGTCTGCAATGGGGGCTGTAGGGTGCAGGCAGGGCTGGGCCTGGCACCATGCTCCACCTTGCTACTATGTTTTGAGGTGCCAGTGTGCAGTGCAGCCCTGTGCTGTTTGGTATTTAGAGCAAGTGCTGGGAGCTGGTGCTCTGCAGCTTGTGCGAGGCTCGACCACCCCTATGTGCTGTGCCAGGAGTTTCCAGAGCTGTGATAAGGGCAGGATCAGGCCGTGCCCACAACCCAGGGTGAAGGGCCATGGTGTCCTGGCCGTGGCTCTAGGACAGGGCCCTGGTGAGCAAGCACTGGTGTGTGTATATCTGTACATAAATGAAATCGTGGACACAAAGCTCTGCAATAGCTTCTGACCAATAACTGGAGCATTTTGTACTGCACCATCCTGCCTCAGTGATGCCGATTTCTTGTGCAATAAAAGACAAGCAGCTCTCGTGGTGCGTCCCTGGCTGGTGTCACAGTGCAGGGACAGCCCCCTGCTCCCCGTGATGGGGCTGGAGGTTTGGGTGCAGGATTTCAGCAATGCTGGTCTGGCGACTGCATGGGGTACCCTGCATTCCCCCATTTCAGGAGCAGGGATGGCTCTGCTCAGAGTTGGCCTCTAGGTTTGTTTCCATGAATACATACATACATTCCATCTGTTTTTCTATGCACACATGGAGGCACCTTCCTTGTGTTGAGGGTCTGGCTGGGCACAGCGCCTGCCTGCCTCTCTTAGTCTGTAATCATGCGTAGTTAAAAATGGCTGTGGGATGGCTGGCTGGCTGTGGTGCTGTGGCTGTGTGCCTACATTTGGGTGCCATGATGAACGTGTCCTCTGTAATTAGTGGGCTGCAGGCAGGGCAGGAGGGGTGGATATGATTGGCACAGCATGGTGGCACCACCCTCATGGGGATGTGGTGCCACGGGGGCTTGGATGCTGTCATGCTGTGTGTGGTGCTGGGGTACCATGCTGACAGCTGTGAGGCAGCAATGGAAATCAGGCACATGAGAACAGCATCCCTGGGAATTACAGCTTTTGGTTCAAAAAGAAAAACTCCAACACAGCAGAACTAAATAAGCCTGCTATTCACACCACCAGGGGCCAGCTAGCATCCCATCATTTTGCCTTCAGCAGCACTTGCAATGGGTTATTATTTCCTTAATAGACCATACTTGTGCTGCACTGTGGGAAACTGCTGCCAGCATGGCACAGCCCACCCCCAGAAATTCATTTGCTAGGGGCCTCCTCTGGCTGCATTGCTGCCTCCTGGCCACAGGCACTGGTACAGCTCAGCCCACCCTGGACACAGCACCCACCTACAGCAACTCTCTTCTTGTGGTGGCTTCTGCCACGTTGTGTCCATCCATACAGCCGTGTTACAATGAATGCAATGAGTATCGAAGCACCAAAAAGCAGAGCACTTCTCATTACAAAGGAAAAGAACCCAGCAGCAAAGTGACTTAGTTTACAAGATTTTTTAATTTACAAATAAAAAAACTACACATTTTACTTTTTCTCTTTTTTCTCTTCTTTCTTGACATCGCTCTTCTCCTTGTCTTTCTCTTTCTCATCTTTCCTCTCCTTTTTACTCTCTTCTTTTTCCTGTCCTTCCTTCTTCTCTGCATCCCTGTTGGCAATCTTGTTGTTGATAAGGTTGTGCAGGGCAACCACCGAGCGGATAAGAGAAGCCAGGTAAACTACCACCATCTGGTCATTGGTCTTCAGGTAAAAGGCCTTGACAAATTCTTGCAGATTGACATCCGGTAGCAGGTTGAAGACATCCTGAAGGTGGTAAATGATCTGGTGGTTGATGGGTAGCTTGCCCATGGCTACTTTCTCAAGGTAGCTCCTGATGTCCAGAAGCTTGGAGTTCAGTCCCTTCAAGCCATGGACCTGATTTGTGATCCGCTGGGACAGAGTGCCCACCGTGGTGTCCTTGATGTCTCTGAAACATGGTAACAAAGATTGGACATTACAATGTTTGCTGCATACTCATCAACAAGCTGTGAGTATTCACTAAGAGGTCTTTCCTGTTTATAAAGAACAGCAGTTGCAAGAACAGATGAAGTACAACTAAACAGAGCACTTCAAGTCCAAGAATGAGATCAAACTGATTTACATTAGAAAACGTGTATAAAATAGGTCATTGTTGCACGCTTTTGTGCAGAAATGCTGTCTTTGGAAATAGTAGTGATACCACCAGTTAGAGGGATAGAAAGAAAGAAGCCAACAGGTGAAAAGGCTGTGCAGTTTGTATGAGGTGGCTGCTCTTTTCCTGGCTGGCAAGCTTTGCCAGTTTTCCAGCTGCAGCTCCGGCAGCCATGGTCCCACTCAGTCCTGCTCTGCGATGTATGCAGGGGCTGAGATGGTTCCAGACCACGATATTTCAAAGCTCTGAACTGATGACCATGTAGCTGTCATCATTTGATGGAGTTTCAGTGGGCAGTTACACCTTCCACTAGCAATGGCTGAACGTGCCGAGCGAGACTGCTAAGAGAACATAAGCAGTGTGTTTCACAAGCTCTGCATTTCCTCCAGGAAGCTGGCACTGGGAGATGCCAGATGGACCATGTTCCCTGTGCGAGTCTCACAAGAAAGCTCTCATCTTAAAGGTGTTTACCGTAACAAGTGTTCAACACCAACTTCCTCTGCCTCCTCCGCTCCGATCTCACTAGTCACGTGCTCGAACGTCTTGGAGGTTGGAGTGCCATCCTTGGAGGTGCACAAACACAAGGACACAGGGTTAGGCTGAGCACACAGCTGACTACGGGCACAAAGAGACGGACTGGGCAGCACAAATGGCTCAGCCACAAACAGGGGGCAGTGTGAACTGTGCCGAAGCAGCGTAAGATGAACTGAGTCTCATTTGCGCGACAGAACCAGGAAGAGGCAATGGGACAAATGGGGGCAGAAAAGTGTCAGGATGAAGCACACAGGCCCTCAGCAGGGAATGTAACATCACCTATGCAGAGGGCAAATGAGTGCCACGGGACGTATGTCCTTTTGAACATACAGACATCCCAACACTCATCTTTCAATGGAAACCTTTTCCTAGGAAGGCACAGAAAAGCATTAGGTGCTCACATCATGAACCTCTTCAACTGAAATATAAGCTTCTGTGGGCAGTCCCAGGTCCTTTGGTTTCACATCAATAATCACCAACACCTTATGGAAAAACAGAACAAAACATAGAATACCAGGTTTTACTCAAGGACTGGAACAAAACACCTTCACACTACAGGCTATGCAGAGGTGTTAACTCCAAGCATTGAAATAAGACATCTACAGCTGTTTAAAATACTTTGCTGTGAGTTTTTTTCACAAGTTTTATCAACTATTACAAAAGTAGGGGCCAAGGATTCCCATGTCCACATTTAGAGAAAGAAAAACAAACAAAGCGCAGCACTTACAGAGTTTGGACAGTATCTTTTCATCAGTTCATTGATAGCAATGTCATTCTTGTGCAGTTTAGGGCCTGTGTGGTACCAACCAACTATTCTTTCTCTAGCTGAGCAAAACCAGAAAGGATTCTAAAATCAGAATTGTGTAGCAAGACAACAACAGAAGTATTTGGGTGGAGACTGAATTAGCAAATGAGCAATCTGACGCATGCAGAAAATGAATGTAAGGCAGGAGAAAATGAATCAGAGGAGGCAAAACAATTGCATGGCTAGCAATGAAGACATTTTACAGAAATAACTACTCCAAGGTTCTTAATTAAATGAGTCTATTTCATATAATGCAGTAATTTACATAACAGCCATCTGTCAACTTGCAACTCTGACATCTAAAGATACAAAAACTCTAGAAACAGGAACTGTTTCACAAATGTCTCAATCATTTTGAATTGTTGCTAGAGCAAAGAAAATTCATGGGAACTGAAGTTATGACTGAATGTCATATATAAACTGAACTTTAATGTCTCAAATGAAGTAATGAAGAGTAATAGAATTACTGTCTAAAACATGAGTTTGTAATATTTGTAAATATTACATAATCCCCAAATATGTTCTTCATAAAAACGATTTCAGGGCAAATCTGCACAGAAGTTATAGAAGAGAAACATACGTAATTCTTTAGAAACAGCAGCATTTATGAAATCTAACTAATTCTGAAGATACAAAGCTATCAGACGTAGGAAAATTAATACGGTATGAACGAATGTGTTAGGAACACAAACTACTTAAACAAATTAACCCTTGGAAAACCATTAGCAAAGTGAAGCTACATAAGGAATTAGCATGGAGAGGCTTCTTACCTGGGCACAGCATTTCCTGCTTAGCTATGAATGCACCTTCTCACGTGGACAAAGTTAAAAGTTTCTAGGAGTGTATCCATGCAAGGCAACCTAAACTTACCGTTGACCTTCTTAAACATTCCATACATGTTCTCCAGATAGTCGTGGTCCAGAAACCACACAGTATCATCCTTGTCGTCTTCATCAAAAGGTACTGGAAATAAAATGCCAATATTTAAGAAACCAATTTTCTGACTAAAAGTATTTGTAGAAGCACCATGTTTTAAGATCGCTCTGGCTGCTAGGGGCAATTGGATCTTAATCAGTTTCAACTGCTCTGCAATGTTGTGCCGTGAGTGCAAAACTACAGTGCAATTCTTTCTCCTAACTGCCAGCAGTTTTAAAACAGAGGAATAAAATGCAAAGCGTTCTAAAAGTTATCCTCGGTGGCCAACATCAAAGCATCAGAGGGAAACTCTCCCCTGCACAACAGTAACTGCATGGTATGCATACACATTTGATATGATAAATAGGATCCCAGCAGACTTTGCAGTTTGTTGATCAACAAAGAGCAAAAGGAGGTTTCGCCATAGGACGCATTTCATCAACGCTTTTACAGACTAGTAGAACATAAAGAGGCACTTTAGGGAAGGACCAGTTACCCCTGAGTAAAGGATGAGTGGTTTTATCAGCTAGCATGCATACAGGGCACACTGCTGGTTTTGAGAACAGTGCTCTCAGCATTTTGATTTACAGAAATACTAAAGCTTCAAAGTTGAAAGGCCATCATAGTAGCAAAAAAATCCCAAACTTCTTTTCAACTCAAAGGGAAAAAAAGATCTTCCAAAATTGGCAAAGAAAAACAGAAAAAAAAAAGTCATCATGTGGGAGAACTCCTTACAACTGTGGAACTCCATAAATAAACTGAGATATTTCTGCTTTGTCAGAGCAGTCCCACCGGGGAGGAAATGATATAACTAACACAAGTGGGTTAGTGAGAGCCGTGCACCCAAAAATTACTCCTGATATCACATGAAGGTACGTAAGAGGAAATGGTTTCAACACCATTGAGAACATGCTTTAAGGGGGAAGGAGCACTTTAACTGGACAAAATCTGAGGGTGACATCTTCCCATAAGCGGTTACGGCCACACGAGCACTGGGCAGAGAGGTGTTCCACAAGCTGAGACACGAGCGCTCAGCAGAGGTCAGTGTGTCCAGTGCAGCAAAACATTCAGCAGTGCTTCAAAAAAAGTTTACTCCTGCTGCTGGAGCATGGCACACTGCAGTGCTGCAGGGAGGCTGCCGGGCGAGACAGGCTCCAATGGGGCACTTCAACAGCAGGCAGCTGTTTCACAGAATCACAGTCACGGGTGCTGGAAGGGACCTCTGGAGATCGCCCACTCCAGCCCCTCCTAAAGCAGGGGATCCCTCGACTTTGATACAGGCCGATCCGTACAAGAGGAGGACCTGTAAGCTGGCACAGCGGCTTAGGGACAAACATACAGCGCAGCCTTTAAATCACGTCCTAATGGGGGTGGACGCCCAACTCACCTGCAAAGCTGTTGGACACGTCCAGGATCTTCTTCTGCCAGGAGCCCAGCAGCACGCCCACCACGCGCTTCTGGTTCCCAACCTTTCCTATTCTGAAGGGAAAACGCCGTCAGCGCCCACACGGCAGCCCGCACAGACAGCCGGGCAGCGGCGGCTGCTTCTGCCACGGGCACGCCAAGCACCCGGCGCACGGGCAGAACAGAATTAGGGGCACCGTGATTTCTGGTCGCCGACTGTTGCTTTACTCTTAAAAGAAAGGTATCCCGGTGCCCTCGTCACCAAACCTCGGAACGCGGCGGCGCTCGGCGCGGGGCTGAGCAGGGCGCTGTGCCGCAAAGCGGGGATCCACGCAGCGCGGCTCCGAGTTGCGCCGGTGCCCGCGTGAGCGGCTGCAGCACGGCTACCGGCGGCACGACGCCGCCGCTCAGAGGGTCGCGCTCGGCAGCTAAGGCACGAACTGCAGCGGGCTCTGGGCTCCCCTTCCCTCCACCGCGTCCGCAGAGCTCCCCGCACCGTGAGGGCCCGCCCGCGGCCCGCTACCGTCCGAGCACCCTTCTTCCTCCTCCCGAGGACGGAGCCCACCCCAGCGCGCTGCGGGCTGCGCTCCCTTCGCCTCGGGGTCTCGACCCGAGCGATCGCCCGGCCCCTGCCCCCCGCAGCCCCGCGTTCCTCACACTGCGGCGCGGCTCGGGCCCGTGACTCAGCGCCGCGGCCCCACCGCCGGCCGGGCCCCACCTGTTGAAGTGATCGACGACGCTGAGCAGCACCAGCGGGTGCACCACCACGCGGTCCACCGCCAGCTCCGGCATGGCGTCCCCCGCCCGGCCCGCTCCGGCCCCGCTCCGCCGTCAGCCCACTCCCAGCCCGCCGCAGGCCGCTCCCCACCGCCAGGCCCCGCTCCCAGCCTGCCCCGCGGCGGGGCGGGGCCGGGCCGCCATCTTGAAGAGGTCGGCGGGAGGCGGGCCCGCTCGGCGAGGGCGCCGCCATCTTGAGGAGGTGCGCGTGACGAGCGGCGAGGCGCCATTTTGGGGAAGTGGCGTCGTTCGGCGTGAGGTAAGGGGCGGGCCGGAGGGGAGGAAGATGGGCGGAGCGGGCGAGCTTCGTCTCGGGGAGGCTCTGAGGGGGTCTCCGGTGGAGGCGGGGGGGCCTTAGGGCCAGCTCTCGGCGACTCAGTCGGGGGGGCGGTTTGGCCCGGAGCCGTGGCGGCACCTCCCGCGGGCACCGCGAGGCACGGGCTGGGCTCCCGCCTTTCCCGCCAAGCGGGCCGCATTTACTGAAAGGCGGCTCTCATCGGGCGGGCGCTGCCCGCGGCACTCCGCGCCGTTCCCCGCTGCCGTGGCGGCGTTCCTTCCCGTTCGGCCCCGATTCTGTCCCGGTCCCGGCGCCGTTCCGCTCGCAGCTCGGCACGGCCTGCGCTGGCGCTGCTCCGAGCCGCCAGGGTTCCGCGTCGCACCCCCGAGGACGCGTTCGGTGACGGTCCCTATTTCTACGCTTTCCCCACGTGCTGCTGCTCGGCGCGTTTCCCCGCCCTGCCCACGTGGCGCCGTGCAGCCCGCGCTGCTGTTCAGATCTCGGGGCGCTCCGCCGCCCCGGCCGCTCCCCGCCAGGCGCAGCCCGAGCCCGGCCCTCTCGTGGCGCTGCCCGGCGTTACGCGGCCCGGCGCCGACTTGGCGATTCGGGCGGAATTCGGCGGAGCTGGCGGAGCTTTCTTCCAGCAGAGGGAGAGCTCTGACCGCGGAATTCCAACGCGGCCGGCGTTCCTGTAGCTTGTTTTATCAATATACATATAAAACTCAGTGTTCAAATTAACTAGTTCAATAAGTAATTTAGCTCATTGATTTTTGGGCATATCCTAAGTGCCGTTACAAGCTACGGATATTTTAAATGCCATTACCTAATAAAAGGTGCTTAAAACATTCCTTCTATTGATTTTATTACTGCTTTATTTTGCTGCCTTGGTTTAAAATCATTTTAACCGCTCTGTAATCAAGAAGAAATATATCGTTGGTGAAATACAGTCAATTTCCTAAAAACCTTTGACATCGTTAAATAAGGAATTAGTTGTTAAATCATGTCGGGCAATAACCGAGGGACAGAAAAGATATAAAATTTGGAGCGGTGGGCTGGCATACCAGTGAGCTGCTCCGACCTTTGGCATTCAGACTGTATGCGACAGTCGCACTTCAATTCTGTTCTTGATTCCTACATCAGTCAGAAGAGATTTAAAATCTCAGCATGCCAGGAAGGTTGTTGAAGGATAACGGAGTACGATCTAGAGACAATTAAGGGGTGTTTTAATGACCTGCTGTGACTTTTTGTTAAAATTACTCTCTAACTTAGCGCATTTGAAGTTTCATTTGCCGGATTGCATTGCTGGTAGTTTAGCGTATTGATGTTATACACAAAAGACTAAATTGAGTCTGCTCATGGGGATTTCAGTTACTTCCCTTCCCGGCTCTTTTGACTTGAGAAGATTATCAGTATTATTGAGCTAATCAGATGGTAGATGGAGGCTGGGAATACAGGCAATATGTTGCTTAACTGAAGAATTGAAAAGTAAGTAATGAATGTTGGTGCTCAATAAAAAACAGCTAATGAGTTGATTGCATCGATGCTTGATGTAATTTAACTGTAGAGTGGCAAACATCAATACTTATTTATGTTTTGATTCATGATTGCTGATCTGAAATTCAGAGTTTGGAGAGGTCCTGCCGTAAGCAAGCCCTGGCGAGGGGAGGCTCCTGGAATGGGACACGCGATCGCGCGTCTGTTGTTGGGCTTTTTTCTTCTTTTCAAATATAACTTTTCAGAGAATTGCCGAAAAATAGTTCAAAAGTAAGATCAATGATTAGAAATGTCGAAGGAACCTCCGGTCTTCCTGTAATAAAAGACCTTAATAACCTGAAGGGAAACGTCAGTGGCAGAGAAACCTGGTGCTGCTGGTGGAGGTGGGCATGTGCCGTGTTTCAGCAGCAATCCCACCACTGCTTGTGTAAGTTACTGCCGCTTATGACCGCGTTTCAGAAGAAAGTTAATTGGCAGAAAATCTCGCAGTCTTCAATGGCACAAGAGTTCTTAATTCACTTCATTCAGAGCTCACCTTTTGCTCTTCTCTCTTCCTTGTGGTTTGCGAGATGTTGTTGGCATTCTGTAAGTGCAGGTTTATGCTTATTGATGACACAGAAGGACATCTCTGCAGGCTTTTCTAAGCCGTGAAATGTTTCTTCAAACGTGCTTTTTAATTCTGTAAAATGCCCTGTGTCACATTTGGGCCTAGGTGCTTGTTAGCATAGGGGCATGTTGGTATGTTCTGTGGGCAGCCCTCAGCCATGGCTTTATGGAGTCCATGCTTGCCAGCTGCTTTCTAATTTGGCTAATGCTGTCTTAACAAAGCCCCGGTAATGTGGCTAAGGGACACTTGCAGTGGCCTTATTTCTCTCCTGGTCCTTTCCACCTGCAGCTTTTGGTGCCAGAGGGCAGCGTGAATTTGTAACAGCAAGGAGAAAAAATAAATGGAGATGACTGCTATAGAATCGCGAAAGTGCCTGATGGCCACATATAGGCTGGGGAAGGCATGTGTTTACAGAATACATTTGCTTTGTGTTTCTAGGTGTTCTTTCCAGCTGTGAGAGTTAAAAACACTACTGTGCTTTAAATGAAAATACCAGCATGCTGCAGTTAGCCGCAGCTCATCAGGCCCAGGAGCGAAGCCTTGGATGGATGTGCCCTCCTGACTTGCTGTCTGCTTTGTGAGTTTTTCCATCTTGTCTGAGAAGGGCCAGGCGCTGCTGCTGGTCCATCAGGAGCCTCACCCTGGGAAAAGTTTGGCTGAACCTTCCCCAAGCAGAGGGTTCTCTGCATACCTGAAGGGAAGAGTGCAGCTGGGGGGTGTGGGCAGGTCAGGGTGGGCTGTGCAGGAGGCAGTGACACTTCTGCCCGACCTGCTTTTCCTCTGTGGCTTTCCAGAACCTGCCAGTGCTAAGGGATGTCCTTGGGACTGTGGCTACAAAGGATCCTCACAGCTGGGAAGTATCGGTGCCTGATGCTTTGGAGTCTCGTCCTAAATGACACTTCTTAATGTGTGCCTTTAATTCCGGCTTTGTTTGGTTGTAAAGAAAATCCTGATGTTGTTCTCTCAAGACAGAAGGATTGGGAGAGGAGGGGAAAGCAGTGCATCCATGAGAATGTATTTTTATTGAGATGCCGTTTAAGATGTGTTTAAAATCCACTTGAGAAGTGAAGCTTTCTTTAGACCCGTCAGTAGTTTGTTGCATAATGTCTTTATGCTACTGGCTCAAACGGGCAATATTTATTTCCTTATAAGTTTAGCTTTATCCACGTCACTGTAGTTTCCTGCAAAGATTTCTATGACCGGGCTTTGGGAGGAATGATGCTGCCTGGAATGGAACGGGTAACGCGAGCCACTGAAGGAAAACAGAAAGCCGCCACAATATTATTAGTTCTGATTTGGTTTGGTTAAACTATAATTCAACGAAATGCTGATGCTGTAGGCTCAAAGCATGATGCCATGGAGCGTGGACTTACCCAAGCTTCAGAATAAGTATCAGTTTGCTCCGATTTGGAGGTCTTCAGAAGCAATGACCACTTATTCCAAGTGTCTGTTCTAGAGCCAAATGCCTTAAAATAAACTTTTAATCTGTAACTGTAAAGTGATCTGTACAATTCTTTGCAATCTGATCTTTAAATATTTGTGTTGCAGTCATTTATTTGGCTCCTTGTGGAGCATCTACAGAATTACATCTAGAAGGAACACTTGTGCTGCTTACTGTGGTTGATCAGCTGCAAGTATCCCAGTAGTTGCTGTTGGTGAATTTAAGACCTTTTGGCCATATCTGTGTGTTATCCAGTTACAACCCTATCCTTCCACAAATAGTATCACAGTGGAATTTTGGCCAATTACTTTTGCATGTAGAATTGGCATTTCCTGCAGTTCAAATCCTTGTGGAAGAATTGTTGACATCTAGTGCAAATTTGTGGGGAAAATCCTCCAGATTTGATGCTGTGCACTTAGAATTTCTGTGGTTCTGTCCAGAAATCAGAGGGCATAGAAATGCCAGAGATGTTTTTAACAACTAAACCACTGGCTCTGATTTCTGTATTTCAATACAGCAGTTTCAGTACTTTATTCTTCTATTTTTGCTAAGAATGTGCTTTTTTTTTTTTTTTGCTTTTTTTTTTTTTTTTTTTAAATTTTGGAAATAAAAAATTAAAAAAAAAAAAAAAAAAGCAGAGCAGTTCTGGTCCCACTCATTTTTCCACACCTTGAGGACCAGCAAATTCTTTAATATGAGATTTTATTTGTACAAAGCAAAACTTCAAAACCACTCAAAAGCTTTCTTATTAACTGCTGTCAGTCCTTTGATTTACAAGGGCAATAAAGATCTGGAGGGGGCACATTTATCATGGCGCTCAGCACACCAGGAGCCATTTTCTCAAGCGGTAAAGCCAAGTGATAAAATGAGTTCTTTTGTTCTATAACCAAGACACATTCCCTGTTTTTAAAAATGTGCGTCGGACTTCTTGGCTTGTAGTTTGGCTGAGTTCCTCTGATACTCCGTTTGTAAATGAAAAATGGCGAACATGCAGATGCTGATGATGCATCTGGAAAAAAAAACAGACTTTCTGAAAGTCGACTTAGGTGTATTTGCCAGCTCTTTTTTCCAGCGCAAACTCTTGTATTATTTATTTTTTCACAGCACCTTTTAGTGTAGCGGGGTTTTTTTGCTTTGTTTTTTAAACTGATGTGATCACAGACCTCTGCAAAGCTGGTGAAATTGCGATTAGAAAGGAATTAAAAGTCCTCTCCTGACAATGAGGAGCCATGCTCTGGAGGCGTAGTGCTACTTCGCGAGTTTTTGTTATTTAATCTGTTTCTAAACTTGTTTGGGTGACTTTTTGGAGGCTGTTCTTTAATATAAGTGGATAGGAGGGAAAGTGCTCTTGTTCATACAAAAAAAAAAAAAAATCAATGACTTGTATTGGTACTTCATTAATAGACATAGCGGTGTGGGAGGAACGCCTTGCAAAAGTGA